GCTAAGGGAATATCCTTCCCTTAAGTACTTATTTATATCTTTATTATAAAGACTAATTACTTTAATTATTTAATTATTTATTAATCTCTAATTATAGTAATTAATAGGTAATTTATTAATTACTCCTAACGTAGTTACGTAACTATATATTCCTTTTTTCTACGTCTTACCTATAGCTAACCCCGCTATAGTGTATATCTACGTCTCACGTAGGAGTGTTCGTAATATATATATATATAGTGTAAATTGTAGTGTACCTATTACTAGGATTAAGTATAATAGATAGACTAGGTACTAAAGGCTATTAGAAGATCAGGAATAAGAGTAGCTTAAGCTTAGTTATTATTATATATAAGAGTATAAACTGTTTATATAATTATAGCTTCTCTATTTTATCTTAATCCTACTAAGTCTATTTCGTAATCTATTATACCTCTTTTATAACTATAGGTTAATAGACTTTTATAACTATAGGTTAATAGACTTTTATAACTATAGGTTAATAGACTTATTAAGAAATGTTTTCTATAAAGATAACTAGATTTAAAATAAGAAGATATTAGTAATTTAGAGTAAAGTATAGTAAAATCTAATAACTAGAATAGAAATCTAATAAGGAAGAATTCTTATTATTTATAAAGAAAATTATAATAATTAAATTGGTCTTTAAAAAAGCTTTTTAGTAATTATATATATTATTTCCTTTAGTTTAACTTTTGAGTATAAATGTTATCTCGCTTATAGGCTGTTCGTAGACTTTCAGACTATCATAGTACCTAGGTAGATATGTATGCATTCGGAGCTTGGCCAATCTCACCACCACTAAAGATGCTCTGCATTGCCGCGACCATGCAGGCCGTCCTATAGGCCTGCGCGCATTCAACTCCTTCCGCGCCGCGCGCTTAGCTCCTGCGTAATGTAAAGCATTATGTCTTTCGTCAACCCCGACAACCTCATCGCTGTCGCCCTTGTCATCAACCGGTCGCGCGACGGTCCAGCCTTTGTTTTCCACTACCCGCCCGCCGTCCTGCCTGTCAGCGCTGATGCCGGCCAATCTTTTGATACCGCTGACTCCGAGGACGTGCTACTTGAGCGGCTCTCGCGGCCGCTGTTTCGCGACGCCGAGGACCGCTCCTCCTCTAAGCACGGTCACGCCCGCAGCAAGAACTGGCACAGCTACGACGAGCATACCATGTCCGACTCAGGCACCCAGACCGTCCCCTGGGAGAGCGTCGCGGGCTTTCCCACGCGGGATCTCGCTAGCATTCTGACGCCTGCGCGGCCCTACCACAAGAAGCTATTTCAACTCTCTCTCGATCCGCTCCTCTGCGTCTCCTATCCCATCCACGTCCCCGAGAGTGGCAAGTGGAAAAGGGTCAAGAAGAGCAAGGCGGGCCGCGCATCATCAGCTGTCGATGACGATGCCCAAGTAGCGTGGCGAGCGCCGTTGATTGCCGTATCTGCGCCCTGTGCGCCCTCTGCGCCTGCGGACTCGGATGCGGCGGTTGAAAAAGAAAAAGAGAAGGACAAGGAAAAAAAAGAGGAAGAGGAAGAGAAGAGGAGCTCCATGACCATGTTCAACCTGGTCTTTATCCTGCGTCCTAGAAAGGAACAAACAAGGGAACTCGTCGAGGCTCTTTACTCGAATATAGCAAAAAAGGTCAACAAGGCCTTCAAATACAGTCAGCAGCACAGTGACTTTGTATGGAAAGAATCTAAGAAGATTCTGGCCAGCAAAGATCGCGCACGCGAAGACAGTAAGCTACCATGTGTCTCTTCATCCACCCTCCTCTAATTGGAGTCCAGAAAAACGGATGAATCATCTCTGGAAAGAGCTCCTGCAACAGTCGTCGCTGGCCGCCTCGGTGCACGACATCTATGAGGCGATTTCGCAGAATCGCATCGCCACGCTGCACCTCGACACAGCCGCAGGCTTGCTAAGTCCATCTGTACAGATCCCTGCGCCCTTTTACGTGGCCGATCTGCCGCCTGACGAGGCTCGGCGCCCGCGTGGGCTATGGCTTACGACCGCCAACGCCTTCCTCACCCAGGACTTCCTCGAGGAGCCGGGCTTCCTCGACCGCAACTTCGGTCTGCTGCTCATGGAGGACGAGAAGAAGATTGTCGCCGAGCTACAGGCTGACGGTGACCCGAACGCGCTGCCAATGGTGGAGTTCGTGCGCATCTCCAAGCCAACTATGAGGTGACCATCCTGCATGTAATCGCACAAGGAGTTTTGTTTCGCGCTAACAGACAATCAAAGCTTCTATCAAGTCGGTCAAAGTAACATCCTCAGTCTCTCGCAAGTCCGCAAGTTCGCGCAGCACTTTATCTTCTGGCGGCGCGCCATTGCTATCCCACCACTGCACGCGCGCGACACGTATATAGTCTCGCCAAACTGCGACCTGGCGCGGCTGCCCGAAGCGGCTGTCGAGTGGCAGCGCGCCTTCCCGCTTGCGCCGCCGCTCGCTAACTTGCTGTCCGACATGTCTGTGTGCCCGCGGCCGTACAAAACGTTTTGCCCCAGCAAGGTACACCGCCCGCTGTACCTGCGCATGCTGGCGTGGCTGATGCGCGGCGGCTGGGTCACGCAGCTGTGCACCTTTGCTTACGTCGTCGTCTGGCCCGAGATTATTTACCAGGTCGAATACGAAATGGAGGCTGATGAGCTCGAGGGCCCCACGCCTTCGGCCTCGCCGCGTTCTGCAGGCGCCGAGTCCTCCGTCTCCCCCATGTCGGCCGCTACCGTGCTTTCTCGCCCGCACAATCCGCTATCTCGCGCCGCCGCCACCGATGATGACAGCGCCGCAATCGCCACCGTCCCCTCACCAATAAGCAGCAGCTTAGCCTTATCAGCCTCGCTCTCCGAGTCGACGAAAATCCGTCAGGCCAGCATCACCAGCACGGCCACCGTTTCCGATTCAACTATCGCCGCTGGCAGCTCACTCCCCTCGACGCCTGGTGCCGTTTCTATCCCGAGCACGACGGAGCGCGCTGCTGAAGCCGCGCGCCTTGAGCGCATCGCGCAGCGCGTGTCCCGCGAGGCCGCCGACAAGGCTGCTGCCCACGCCCGCAAGGCCATCCCCGAGGCCACGCCGCACCCGTCCACCAATCGCAGTCTGCACCTCGCCGGTATCGCGCCTCACATCATCCTCGACGCAAAAAAGGCGACAGGACGCGAGTCGCGATACCTTGCCGCCATTGTGTCGCGGCTGCGTGATGACCGTGTGCGCCAGGCTTGGAGCACCATGTGTCGGTACTTTGATGGCCACTCCGCCCTCGAGAGGGTCGCATTGCAGGAGGAGATGAAGCGTAAGGAGGCTTGGATGCTCCTCACTGCCATGAGCGAGTATTTAGTCTGCACGAGACATTGGTAGGATGGAAAAGACGAGGATAGAAAAAGTAATTCAAACAGTTGGTCGGCGTGTTCAGTTAGCCTTGTATTCTAGGGATCGCGGCCGGGCAGTATGATGCATGCATGTACTGAGACGAGTCCGGAACATTAATGTAGATACACAGCGTTTACATATGGCGTTGCGAAAAATGTCTTCTACTTGCGAAAGATAGCATCACAATGTAACATCAAACGTTGAGGACAAAGTTCCAATTCTCAAACTAGAAAATTGCAGAGCGGGGAAGAAGAAGGAGCACCAATAGATGAAAACAGAAGAAAAATAGTCTGTGGTATCAGGAAGAAATAGCAGCAAATACCTCTCACAATGTGTGACAGCATCGACAAGCTCATCACATTAGAACAGCAAAATTGACGAATAATCCACCAAGACAATCTAAAACGCGCTGGGAAAAAAGTGCAGAAACCGCACACCCATGTATATACTTTACTGAAACAACAGTGTAAAACGTGTGGGTAAAGAAGTCCATGAAAGAAAACAGGAGATAGACAAGAGGCGTAGCACCCTTGACTTGAAACGGAAAGACGCAAGAAAACGCAGAAACTTCAGAATCTTGCGATAATTCAGATAATTGCAAATGAGAGAGAGGAAAGTAATTCAAAGAAAATCACCCCAAAATTCAGATCAAGGGACTCGCTGTGTCCCATGTAAAGCGTGTAAATGTCAAAACTCGCCATCCAAAAGCCATGAAAACAAAAGCAATAATAAAGCCAAATCCATATTGTCATAGATTGAATCCCAAAACGCCGACAGCAAGACGAAAGGCGCGAGCAGCGACTTGTCCCGAGCCGTCAAGAGAAAACAGCAAAAGACGCAAGCTGACCTGGCGGCAGAAAACACCGATGACGCCTGTGTATAATGCTTAGTTTCCGACAGAAGAACGTCCGCATGCTGTTGGAGAAAGTGGCCGATGCACAAACATGATTCGTGAAAAAGCAAGACATTCGGCGGTAGACTAGTTCAGGTCCATGTCGTACTCATCTTCATGCTTGAAGTTGAGTGGAACGTTGCCACTGCCGTCATCATGATCTTCGTGCCAGAACTGAGCTGCTTCTCCCATGACGCCAGAGGAATCGGGGGTGATGCCGATGGTGTCGAGGCTGGGGGCGGATCCGTTGAGCGACTCGCCGCGGTAGTCCGTGTGGTCGGGCACGCGAAGGCCAGAGCCAGCACCGCGAGAGTAAGTGAGGTTCTCATTCTCGGTGCGCGTTAGGGCCTCTACTAGCTCAGACTGCATGCGTTTCTCGTCATCAGTCAGCTCAAAGGGAAACTGCCCACCAAGCTCGGTGATTGTGTTCATGAGATGCTCGTGCTGCTGAAGCTTAAGGTGTAGCATCCACATCAGATCGCGGGTCCAGCTGACTGCCCCGTTGAGAATATCACCCTTGTTGGGGCCCTTGTCCTTGTCCTCGATGGGGAGTCCAGTAGTGATATTGCCAGCGGCACTGCCAGTGGCTCTTCTGGCACCAGGTCCAGCGAGACCCGATGTGGCTTGAGAAGGGTTGGAAATGCCGGTCAGAGTCGGTGAGAGAGGGGTTCCGTTGTTGATAAGCTTGCGTATCTTCTCGTCTTCGAGACGATGCGAGGGAACAAGTCGGCTGAGATCTTGAATTCTCTCATTGATGTTGTCGCGGCGACGGCGTTCAACGAGGTTATGAGACTCGCGGCGGCGCTTACGTTTCATCTCCTGCGAGGATACGGCACCGCCAGGAGGACCGCTGAGCTTGGCCGGCATGGAAGTGCCGCCTTTCATCATCACCTCATTAATGGGCACCATCCCTTGCTGCATGGGTGAAGAGAAACCCGAGTTGTACGAGGCTGGTATGCTGCCAGTCGGAGTATTCAGCCAGTGGCCAGGGGACTTGTCATGGCTGCCAGAGGTGCGCATGGATTGGGGACCGAACGAGGGAGAGCCCTGAGAGCCGATGGGAATTCCATGGATGCTGTTGGTCTTAGGAGTCATGGGAGTTCTGTTGTTGGAAGCCTTCCGTTGCATCTCTTGGGACATTCTGGCCCTGGCGGGGCCCATGTCGTTTCCAGCGAGGGGGGAACCATTGTAGGACATGGGGGAATGCAGCGAGGTGCCCATCTGGCGGAATTGTGCATTGTTGAATCCATGACTATAGGGACTTTGAATAGGGTCGCCGTCCGGAGTGCTGGAGTAGCCGTTGGCAGGTTCAATTTGGAGGGAACCGCGATGAGTAAAGTTTGATTGGGAGAAGCCCATGTTCATGTTACTAAAGTCCTGGTTGAGGTGTTGGCCGTCACCGGGGCTGGCCAGTCCATCCAGCAGCTCGTCGTCGCCAAAGACGGCAGAGCCACTGGAGAAGCCGTTGGGCTGATTCGAGCTGGCGTGGAAGTTGTTACCATTGGGGTAGGGGGGCGAAAGAGCGCTCCCCATGGCGAGATCATTGGGATCGATGTTGCCGGCGTTGGCAGAGCCAAACTGAGCGAAGCCGTGCTGAGCCATTGCGACTGGTCTACGAGCTCGGGAACGTCAGGTCGGTAAGATGTGTGGATGCCCAAATGGCTGATTTGTAGAGAACAGCTGGTGCGCAGCAGGCGGCGCACCTCGGGAACGGGGATAATCGAATTTCGTGTCGACGCTGTGCTGATGAGACTGGTCAGTTACGATGCGCAAAAGAGGCAGACAAGGACCAGGTGCTGTGCAAATATGCGGGATAACCAAGTTTGTTTAGCTGACAAGGGCGGAGCGAGAGCGCGAGTCGAAAGATTTGAGGCAGTGCGGAAGTATCGGCGACTCACCTTGAGTACAAGTGACAAATACTTAAGCGGCAAGGTAGTAGATTCAGCGCAAGGCCATATGTCGCCAGAGGAGCGGACGAGTTTGTGAGTTGTCGGGTTACACGAGACGTGAAAGCGAGAGGGTAGAGAGGTGCGACGTTGGAAATGGTCTTTGCTGCGAGGGGCTGCGCGCGGGTGAGCTTTTCTGACAGAGGGAGAGAAGTGCAAGTGGAAGGGCGGAGCCAGTTGCGGTATGGCGGGTTTGATGGGCGCCAAGGGTTCTTTTTTGGCCCGCGGACACAGATGGGCACTGGTAGGTAGGCACCTAGGTGGGTAGCAGGCGGTGACGGCTGATTGCGAAAGTCGCAGTAGTTAAGGAGCAGTGCTGCAGATGCTTGAAAAACTATAATGGATCGTGAGCGAGCCCAGCGGTGCAGGTCTGCAGTTCACTACATTACAGAATTGTGGTCAGCCAAGTGGAATGAGGGGAAGAAGTGGCAGGTTTCAGTGAGGCGCACCGCGACCGTGTGAGGTGTTAACTAGTCGAAGGGGTCGTCACCAGTGCGGACAAGGTGCCCCATAGAAAGGGGGGAAGGAATATAGGCCAGACAGTCTGTAGTAAGTCGGGCTAATAGAGGACGGTGGCCGGATGCATGACGAGGGAGCAGTCGGGCAGCGATGATGAAATGGCGAGGAGGTGGGGAGGGAAGTGTTCAACGAGGTGGTGAGGGAACAGGATGAAGGGGAAGAGTGCAAAGGTAGTACTGTAGCTGTACCTACCTACTTACAAAGCACTGGCTGTGTTGGTAGCTGGTATGATGACTACCTAGCAGGTAGAGAGAAGGTAGGTCACGTAGGCAGTAGGTAGGTAGACACCTGGGTACTTGGTGGTGTCGACAATTGATGGACAAAGGGAGCATGTGTTATGCTGGGGATGATCAGCAAAAAACAGCCACGGAAACAAGCGAACACCCCAGCAAGAGCGGATGAAGAACGGATGCGGCGGGAGTCGAGAAATTCGACGCAACAGGCTGCGGAAAGAGAGCGAGCCTCGATATAAGTAGACTTACAGCTAGATCTGCAGCAGCGGAAACAGTCGTGCGCTAGGAAATGTAAATATAGAAGCAAGGTGAGGAGGCAGGCTTTCATCATCGGGCGCGAGATAAAACGAACCTCGAGACTAGGATTTATCGAGAGGTACTGGCGACGTTGAGTAATTCACGAAGGGTATGGGCGAGCTGAAAGACGCAATTGTGTAGGTGGCGACTTCGATGTTACTGACTGGTAGGTAAGTACCTTGGTACCTGGTCAGAGGCAGATAATAAATAGACGCTAAGGTAGCAAAAAACCTGTGGCTGGACGGTAAGTAGCAGCGGGCGGAAGAGTGTGTCTTGGTGGTGGTGGTGGTGGTGGTGGTGGTACCCAGGTAGGCAGTGGCAGATACCAGGTTGCTGGGCAGGTAGGTACCTACCTAAGCAAGGTGGCACTGGTGGGTATCAAGGTACCTACGTTGGTTGGTTGGGGTTGCAGCAGGCTTTGAGTGGATAACTCCAGCCGTGATTTTGGCAAGTACCTTGTAAGAGTCAAGTCAGTCAGTCTCTGCGATTACTTATCAGTTATATTCGAGCACAGCAGCAGGCAGCAGCAATCCGTGGCAAGTTTCTCTTCACCTTGGCGTCCGTTTTCCTACCCACCAAGCGTACGGTTATGCCTAAGATGTTTAGACTACCTGGCCATCGCCCGTCCGAGGCGCTGCTTGTGGCGTCGCTAGAGTGGAGAAGCTTCAGGCCAACACCATGCTGTTCCTCTGCTCTGCTTGTGGCTGCTTACCGGAAAGCCGCAGCGCCGATGTAAAATGACAGATCCCCGATATCTATCCTGCAATAACGTCGATAATGTTGTTTGCGCTCCTTTCGTATAAAAAATAATCACAAAATAGCGTGTCGGTTCGATCAGGGGGGTAATGCGAACCGAAGTTGGTGATTCGTTTGCTGCAGCTAGACAAAGTGACCCCAGATTTAGCAACCACGTATTCACAAAACCCGCATCCACGGTGGTTCGACGCAAAACAGGGAGCGGGAAGGGAGCGGGAACCATGCGCCGCTACAGCGGGCTTTCAAGAAGGGGCGGGGCGCGAGATACTGGGAGCGAGCAATTGCGAATAATAAGGTAGCCATACCGTGTTCCCGTAATGCCGGTCTTGGTTCGGCTGTGGGCTGACAGCCCAGGTCCTTGACTCCTTGGTGGATAGGACTGGGATGCCGGTGGCAGTCGTGCCTTTTCGTTTGCCTTTCGATCGGAACTTGCTCTTGTTTTGCTTTGCCTTTCGCGTGTCGGTGAGTACAGGTCGCTGTGCTCAGGGTACTCAGTAAGTCGATGTAGGCAGAGGCAAGCCCGGTTTCTTGCAACAAACAATGGCGTGATTCCAAAGTGAAATCTATTTGTGGAGAGATTGATAGAGGCAAAATTCACAACTGCCTTTGCGCGCGAATCAAATCGGGGTGTTGCTCTTTATACTCTGCTTTTCTCTCGTGGCTGGCCATCTACATCATCCCCAGAGCGATGCCCACTTTGGCTACAATCTAAAAATACAATGACATCGAGGTCAATTCGTATACAAGAACCCCGGTAGCCATGCCGTGCTGCCTGGACGTGTCTCCTGACCTGCTCTGGCGTCGCAGCGTGGTGGTGGACCTCCACCAAGTGCAATCACCAATCAGTGACTGAGATTGTAGGCAGTTCGGCCGAACGTGACTCGACTCCGAGACACCAAGCCCATCTCGACGCTCATCTTTCGCACCTTACCATCGTCATGCACCATTCTATGGAAAGGGCTCGTGCGGTCATGGGTTGTGGCCACGTTGATGCGTGCTCCTCATCGGCGACCACGCGGTTATGTAACGCACCGGGGCGAATCGTGATGCCGCGAGGCAGGCCCGTAGGTAGAAAAGAAACAAACGGCTTTGCTCTCCTGCTTACCCTGAGAGAGGGCGAGAGAGCGGAGGAGCTAGCGGACACCTCGTCGCTCTTATGTAGCCATTTTTTTAGCCCATTCGGCCAAGTAATAACGCCTTTGTCGAGCTCATGCATGCACCCCGGAGGGCTTGACAGGATATACTTTCTCGTAATACTGGTATAACCCAAGCCATTGATCTGCGGCTTCCCAACCCGTTCCCACCTCCTCCATCGACGACGGGACCAGAACTGGCATTCCCACAATCTTGCATGAGCGAATCGCAGTACACGGTCTGTGGCCCGTGCAATAGATACCAAGGAGACGTGTGTATGTAGATAATAACCGTATATTGTATAGTATAAGGAGAGCAAATGCAGGGAGGCGTTTGCCCAACACGCATTTGCTCGCAAGTCATTCATTGGTAGTGCAGACTGACAAGTTCAGATGCCTCGCCTTCTAAATAGACCGTTTCAGTCCATTTGTCTGTTTAGGTAGCTTGATGGGAGATAACTTGTAAGTACCGGCCACTTGTAGCAGCCACTCCTTAGGTACCTACCTAACCTGTGTCGGTATCGAAGTGAATATTCTGCATCGCTACCTTCACCACTGCCACCAGCCGCGACGTGCTTCTATCAAAAGCGACGAGCTCATGTTACCAAATGCCTCCCCCGTGTCCCCGGCACGTTGCACCGACCTTGGGTGTGACTTGCAATGCTGAGTCCCTACAGCTATCCGTCTCCGTCTCTACGAAGTAACGCGGTAGGCAGCGGTCTCTAACTATTAAGCTACCTACAAGTAGGTTGACAAAAATTCCGTACGGTTTTCCATACAAATTGGCTATCAAACCGTACGGAATTTATGTCTCCCCACTGTAGGTACCTAGCGGCTCGCCCTCCCTGCAAGCCTTCACACTAAAGCTTCTACTGTAGCATCCGACCCGCACCTGCCAATCATGTGCCACCTCCTCTCCAGCGGACTTGGCTGGTCTCTTACACACCAGTGACACCACCAACTCCTTCACTTCGTGTCTCTTCAACCACTGAGCCTCTACTTGCTGCAACGCAGCTCTAATGTAAGACCATATTATTCCCTTCACACGCTCCGCTTGCTATCTGCCCCATCCCTGACACCCTGTTACACAACCTGGAGGGCCATTCCTCCCGCCTGGCGAGGCAAATGAATCCACTGCTTCCGTCGCGCATGGGCTATCACCGTTTGGCTTCTTCGGCTTGCACACGCTGTCACGGCCAGCATCTGTACGCGCGAATCCGTTCGTGGTGCCATGAAATGCCGCCATCTATTGTCTATATCTGTCATCGTGTTGCGCGGTCAGCTACGCAACGCCTGCCACCTTCTCAATTCTCTCTCCCCCCCTTTTGCCCACGTCTCGGCCCTCTGCAACTCTTTATCTCTCTCGCCCTGTTTGACTGACGAAACAAGACAGCTAGTCTCGACACACGCGCCCCCCGAGACTTGGCGAGATCATCTCGCTTCTCTTTCGACCTTGCACGACTTTAGCTTTGCGACATACTTTAGAGATTGCCCGCCCATTGTTGGAGAGCAACTCACCATTCACGTCGATCGTCTCGCCAGTAGCTGTACCGCTTCTACAGGTGCCCATCTCGATCGCTACGATGGCTTCCTCATCATTCCGAGATTCAATAAACTCGCTTGGCTGGTCGCGCGCCACCGAAGAGCCCGTGAACACCTCGAGAGATACGGGCCTCTTCTCCAGTATCCAGAACTTGAACCCATTTCAAGATCGCGGGTATTTGCAGCTGCCCACTCACGAAACGTCGCCGGGTGCGCCTTTGCCTGCGTCAAGTCGTCGTGAGGAGGAAGAAGGCTGGTTCATCCGTGAGTCGGGTCCCTGCGTATCCGCCACCCACCCATGCCCTTGCAGGCGGAACAACCTGTTTTGCCTCCATTCTGCCTGCGCCCCTCTTCACCTCCCGCGATAGCTGCATGTGATGCGGGCGGGACGCCTCGTGGCCTACCGTGGCTAACTCTTTGCGTTATAGTCAGTCGCTGGGATAGACTCTTAGTTTTCGCTGCTTGTAACCTTGCAGCACTTGCATGCTTCGTCATATGCTTTACTCTATTCCCCATAGTCGCCACTCGCCCGCGCAAGTTTGTTCTCTTGTAGGTTCTTCTCGCACCTCGGCACCTGCTCATCGTCCATTTCTCGTACCTTCTTCAATGCTTGTAACCTTTCCCTTTCAAGAAGATGATTTCTGCCTCAACCACTGCCCTTCTGTGCCGCCTCGTCGCGCGGCTGCTGGCTATCCTTGGTTTCCTGTCGGGCAGCTTGTCGGCTTCGCACATGAGCCATGCACGTCATGCGTCTTTCTTCTCCCCTTTGCCCTATCTTGTATGCTAATCATTGCAGATGGACTGTGGGATCCAGTCTGTTCTTAGCGTCCTTTGCGGCCGTCATGGGCCCCATGAACTATGTCTATCATCTTTTGTCGACACCTAGACTGCCCTTTACTGCGGCCTACTTTGGATCCATTATAATGACGTTGGCTTTTGCCATTAAAGTGAGCACCTGATCCCGTGCGTTGACGTCCTGTGCTAACCCCCACAGTTACAGAACACCATTCTCACGCTGCTTTCAGCCCTTGTACAGCTCGCCGCCCTTGCTTGGTATCTCGTCAGCTATTTTCCAATGGGAGCAGCCGGTCTGCGCCTGGCGACGACGTTTGGGGCCAGGCAAGCGACATCTTGGATGAGTGGCTAACTGCGCGCCGCGCCCGCGGCACATCGCGGCGCAAACTGTAAAACCTGACTCATTCATCCTCTCACGGCTAGTTTTCTCATTTGCTGAGGAACTAACCCTTAAAGCTCTCTGACCTGCGGCGTTGACTGCGGGCATTTGTATCAAGGGCTTACGCTATATTGATGTGCAATGTATAACCAGAAATGTCATAATAAAGATACACGCACGTTTCAAGGCGGAATACTTTAGAATAATCGCTGTGCAATGAATCATCTAAGTATGCTGCGAAAGAGCCAGGGAGCAGAGTTGAGCCAATGTGACTGCCATGTAGCCGCCAGCCAATACGGCAATGATATCGAGGACTGAATGCGAAACGTGAGGAGTCGGGAATTCCGGCGATGGCAAGGCATCGGCTTCATCTATGAAATGATTCATCCGCTCAAGATGACGACGGAAAATAGGCCGATAGGTCGGAGATGCTACGTAAGATTGGTTGCGAACGTTAGTTCAGCCAATGAGGTGTTACACGAGACAAAGTTACACTGTATGGCGCGGCACTATAATAGAAACCTGATGAACGTGACAGCCCAGCTAAAACTCTTCGCTACTGGCAGAGTGTCAATACAAAAGAAAAACCACGACATGGACATGCGAGATACTGCTTGGCCGTTATGGAATTCGCGACTTGGGGAGGTGCATGCACAAGGATCGGCCCAAGTAGTGCTAGCCGCCGGGTGGTGCTGCAAGGGAGGCGTTGACCCCGATTCGGGGTGCCTGAAACAAATGCGGGATGGAATGTGAGCGGATGTACGGATATAAGATGGCCTTTTGCCCAAGGTCGCAAGCCGCATGTCCAACCCATGTGTCCATCAACTGCCCTCTTGCTGCTTCGTCCTTGGCACATGTGGTGAGACCTCTGTGGTGCAGACACGTATCCGTCGACAATCATCTAAACCAAGCAAAGCGTCATGTACTGATATGAATAGACCTACCCCAATTTCTAAGATGGTTTAGACCTTTCCGTACAGCTAAAACAGTTTCAGGGAGTGTTTGCGTTTGACTGGAAGCAGCAATCAACTAACGAAGACCGCGTCGTCCCTAGGCTGGTGTTGCTGCGTTTGCGGCGTCGGACGCCTATTTTCTATGCTCGTCCCTGCACTATCAGATCGGCTGCTACATGCCTCCAAAAGGCAAATGTGCGCTAATTACAGATCATAGCGCCTAAGCTACCATTTCTACTAGCGTTTGTCGACGTTGCTACACTCAACGCTGATCTTGGCGAACGCACTTCTCGCGGCCCTTCAATGTGCTAAGATACACTTTCTAAGCGGAGCACCTATCATATTCCTGCGTCGTTGGAATTCAGGACCGGCTAGGTAGCTAACACAGAAAAGCTAGAAGCACCTTGACAGATGCGCCCGAGCTAAAGTGACATGCATCGAAGCCGCTAGCATGTGGAAGAAGAGCAGCTTCTACCCGCGCCAGAGTTCATGTGCTCGACGGCAAAATCGGGCGACCATTCTACTCACATGCAGAGTTTGGACCCTGCGTTCCAGAAAGACGCTGAAAATAAGGCACAAAATACAGTGAAATAGGCGAATGCCAGATGCTCTCGGCAAGAACGAGCCCCGTTGCTCCAACGCATGCTCTGTTGCCTGTACGTGAGTGAGTGAGGCCACGACACCCTCGCACAAGGTTTGCACCATGACGAAACCTAACTTGACAGCCGGCTTGGCAGAGGGAATGCAAACTCGATGAATCTATATGGCCAAGTTTGCTTGCGTCTCTGCACATGCCGTCTCCAGTTACTTTGAGCAGAATCGTCAAGGTACATTGTATTTACTTTTGCATTCTTTTTGGCCACACAAGTATGTTGACAGAGGTGTCCTTCAGGTGTCAGCTCCAGTTCATTACATACCTAGGTAGGTAGCCGCCGGTCGTGTGACCATAGGAATGCTCAACGGTCTTTATTGTCGGCTTTGGAAATTGCCGTGCGGAAGAGGAGACTTGATACAATCTCGCCAATGGAGAAAATCCCCGCCATGCTGCTTATTAGCCATGAGAGAGTATGGGCTTGGATTGTATGGATGTATTTTGTGTAACCACCCTATGTGGTCTAGATAATATGCCCAAGGCACATAAGTACCAAGGCACATAAGTACCACTGCTTGCTGCTTTGAGGCAGCGACGCTAAAGCAGAGTTAGCCCCCAACGGCCTTCCTGATTCACCTATGCCACCACGGCGTCACGGATTTGACTTATCTTCCCAATCGATGGATGGATGTGTGCGTGTGTATACGTGCTGTATGTGTGGCTGGTTTGGGTGTAGGGTGACAAGATGGAAAGATGTAAAGATGGCTAGATGGCAAGATGCCTCATCTTTTCGGAGTGGGCAACTATCGCCGGGCAACCTCATACATTGTGATGCCGCGCGCTCTCTTATTCATCTACGGGATTGCCCTACTGGCTGGGCTACCAGGACATGTATAGGTGTATAGTTGAAAATATTATTCTGATCATTTATTCCATCCCTAATAGCTATGCATAATTGGCTACCTACCAACCTAGGTAGCTGGCTACCTGTGGCTGTTTCAGCAAACCGCAACCACACAGCACCAGACCTCTTGGGAGCATTAAATTCACACTTGAGAGGCTATTCACCTACCTACCTAGGTATCAGCCACATTGGCAAGCATAATGCGCGAAAACTTCTTCTCGATCGACTTGTACCTCTCTTACTAAACCACCCTCCCCTCTCGCTCAGCTACATATACTTAACTATTTTTTTGCAACGCATTCCGCGCGCCTCAAAAACATAGTGGTGGGCTCGGTATGACGCATAATGGCAAATCAAACAAACTCCTTTGCCATCTGTCAGGGTGCACTGTCAGATGCATTCTGCAAGCATGTCGTGTATTGACTCGCGAGGATCCTTTCGAGCGAGGTTTCTGCAAACTTTCCTCATCGATCCCCTTGGCTCGGCCAGAGGGGGGGTAGAATAAAAAAGAAAGAGCCCATTTGTGGTTTTCATGCCCGCGGCTCCACATGTTCTGGATATTCGTTCAACGTCGGTGTGGGGAGCGAAGACAAAGATGAGAAAAAATTGCTGCTGTCGAATTTCTCGAGAAAGTCTCAAGCAGACTCTAGCAAAATGCGCGATTAACGCACCTTGACACCCAAACGAGTCAAGTCACCCTTCGACGAGACAGCCTCGCTCAGCATGACTCTCCTCCGATGATTTTCACCACTGTAACACACCCAAATGTGAGCGAGCCTTGGCTGCTCTATTGATTACGAGGAGAGGGCCCTATGCAAGCCACCCTTCTCTTCCCGTAGACATGCCGAGCACCCGCATCAAACAAGTTGTTTGAGGGAACATGGGGATTGGAAAATGCCACCGCTTGCCCTCTAGAATTTTTCCCCGCTGGTCCGTGGTCAACATGCACCTGAGCAGAGGAAGAGGAATGGAAGTAGGAGGGCACCTGGCACCTCATCTGCATCTAGCGGAAGGCTGCAACAGACAGTCCGTCTGGCGCTGTAAGCCTGTGGCGCCTGGGACGAGACAGGAGGGACGAAGGCAGCCACAGTAAAAATACGTAGGAACAACAACGCTTGTGCAAGGACAGAGAGGAGGGGCACGATCCACCATAGCTGATGCGCTTCATATACAGTATTTCCTCGTGCAGAATACCTATTTTTCTTGTTGATATTTATTCCTCAAGAATGCTTTCAAACCACCAAGTGTCCGGTGCAGTCTGTGTCATGCCTCATTGGCGCCTCAGTGTGCGAGCCCCATACGGCCACCCATGTTTCCAGCGGATGGATAAATATTTTTAGGTACCTAAATAGTGGCCGTAGCGTGCCAAACTGCGCTGTTTGGCCGGCCGTCCAATCCCGGGACTTCCCCGCCCCAGAGGGATACCTTCTGCAGGCTTTTGTAACTTGACGTGTTCATTAGCTACAGTTTATGTTGCGGGAGGTCGATGATGGCTGAGGCAAGGCAGAGGATGACAATACCTCAGTTACCTTGCAGAGGTTGAATACCCACCTAGGTAGGTAGGACGAGCACACAGAGAAGGCATCGAATAGTACCTACCTACATAGGTAAGTACCTGCTCAGTGAGTTGTAGGGCACAGATAAATGAGTATCTAGGTAGAGTAGGTATGTACCCCTTCTTAGGGTAGGTCAAAGAGGAGACGAGGGGAAACCTCTGCGTACCTAGGTAGGTAGGTAGGCCAGTATTACATTGCTTGGGTAGGTAGTACCTAGGTAGGTTTGTAGGTAGGTAGTTCTAGCCTACTGTACATTGTTAGCCCAGCCCAGAAAAATTTATTACTTCACACACAGCGAAAATTATTAACCTGCCTTGGCTTCTGCCGGACACTCCCTCTCTTCTCCCTCTCAAACTCTCGTTAGCCCTGCCGACGGAGCCGTCTCTTCTCTCTTCGTGTCTTGTTCGTTCGCATCTCCCCTCCCCTCCTGCAGCGTCTGTCTATCCTCGCCAATTCGCTCCTCATCTAACATTTCCCGCCCTAGCCTCGTGCGAGAAATCCTGCCTAGCCCTTGGGACTGCGCTTCGACAATCAAACTTGCCTTTCGATTCGAACGAGCCGACCTCCGACGAGGAAGCGCAGCAGGCTTTTCTTGACCACAACTTTTCTTCCTCTGCTACCTGCATGCCCAGGAGAGCAAAAAAATACAACAAAAAAAGTACCAACGCCGCCGAGATTCAGTTGCTTGCCAGTCTCTACCCTCATCGGTTTTTTTTTCTGAGTTCTTCCGCTCTACGTTTTCATCCACGACCTGTCGCCTTTGTCTCGCCAGAGAACACAGACGACGGACTCGCATCTGTTTGTTGTTCGGTTCGGTTGCACCAGCCTTCTTGCCCGACCCACGACCAACGCCGCCGTCTCTTATTTTTCCGTTTGCCGCGACCACAACTTTCCGCGCGTCTTTACCTCCCAACTTCTTCGCCCGCTTCGATCGATTCTTGCTCTTTTGGAACAGCCCCTTCCCTCGTTCTTTCGGCGCCCCCGCGACAGAGCCGAGGCCCTACAGCTCTTCCTGTCCTGGTCGACGATCGAGAGCCGGATACCCTCAGGGTTCTGCTGACTCGGGAGATCGTTGAATCCCTTCATCTTGGTCGGTGACGACTTGTGACAAACTTCAGCTTGACACATTTCCTACGTTATCCCGTAGGCTTTGCCAGGCTTGTCCGATTTTCTTTCTCCGCCGCGACGATTTCAGCTCCAGCTCCGCTGCTAGCTCATCCGCTGCATTGCTTTTCTCATCATGGCTGCCGCTTCGACCTTCTCTTACGCACAGGCGGCAAAGGGTCAAAATTCCACTCCCGAATCTCCGCAGTCTACTTCCCAGGCCACGGACTCGCTCTCCACGATTCCTGCGTTCGCTATTACGCCGCTAGATGACGCCTCCGTGGCAGACTCGAGCAAGCAGGACAGCATCGCCACCTCTGCCGACAAGCATGAAGCTGCCAGTACAGTCGGTTCCGAGAGCGATATATCCGAGTCTGTCATTTCTAGACGCACAGATAAGCGCGAGCAGGAACTGAGCCGATTAGAGCGTCCCTGGCGTAGAACCGACAGGGAAGGCCAGCCTTCGACCCAATCCCATGACGACGCCGACTCAAAACGCCGAAAGGGCAAGAAGAAAGGTGCCGACAAACCCGCTGAGGAGGAGGAGCCCAAAGTCGAACTGACTGAAGCTCCCGTTCCCTCTGTCAACATCTGGCAGCAGCGAAGAGAGGCTGCCGCAGCCGCCAAAGTTGTCAAGCCAGATGATGCCAATAGCACCACCGCCTTGGAGGACGTCAAGCCTCCTTTCAAAGTCACCGACTTTGCCGGTGCCGTCAATGGGCACAAAAGCACCCGCAAGGTCGATATTCCGCGCCCAGAGCGTGCTAGCCGCGGCGTCAGGGTGGCCGACAAAGAGGCAAGAGAAGGTAAAGGCGAGCTACCCCCTCCTGTTGAAGATGCCATGCTGTGGCCTACTCCCGAGACTGCTGTCCAGGAAGATAGGGACAGTAAAAAGAAGAATGATGCCAAGACTGAACTCAAGGAGTCTCAGGAGGACGCTGGCAAACCTCGCTCTAAGGAAAAGTGGGTTACCTACGACTATGTTCCCACCGTCAATTTTGAGACGCAGTTGCCGCAGATGCGCAACACCAAACCGCGCGGTGGCGCCCGCAATATCAACGGCAGCCGCCCCAACGCCACAGGCCAGGCTGGCGACAAAACAGCATCTGCGACCTCTGCCGCTAAGATCAACGACAGACGACAGAGCACAGCGAACGTCGCCCCTCGCACCGGTTCACAGCCCCCGGGCAAGAGAGCCTCCGTTGACGTTGCTACTTTACGTGAGCAGCGCAAGGTTTCTGGCAGCGCTGCCAGTGAAAAGGCCAAGGATGCCACTCCTGCCTCTGCTGTACGTCGGGTCCATCACCTGACTCTTATCTTTGACTAACAAGTTTCAGCAGGAGCAGACGCAAGCACCACGGGAACGTGCTGATGGCCGTGCCGATAGAGGCCGCGGTGGATACAGAGGACGTGGTGGCCACCACACCAACTCGCACTCCCAACACCAGCATGTCGCTTCTTTTAATGGCAACGGACCTGCCGGCAGCCGCCCACAGGGCCCTTATAGCCCACCTCCTCGTGGTGGTCACGGTCAAATGTTCATGCCTCCCTCGCAAAGAGGACGTGGTGGTCGCAGTAACGCCGCCAACTTTCACCGCATGTCGTTACCCAATGGCCGCCTTCCTCCTGTTCAGACTCAGTTTGCCTCATATGAGTACTCGATGGCTCCTATCAGCGCCGTGCCCTTCCAGCCTCAGCCCTATTGGGACAACATGATGGTTCCCGTTCTCAAGAACCAAATCGAGTACTACTTCTCAATCGAGAACCTGTGCAAGGACATGTATCTCCGCCAAAGAATGGACTCTCAAGGATTTGTACCATTGCACTTCATTGCCGCCTTCAAACGCGTCCGCGAGTTATCAGCTGACATCGGCATGCTTCGCGTCGTTTGCGAGATGTCCTTGGATGTTGACCTGGTCGTTGGAGAGGACGAAATCGAGCGTGTGCGTAGAAGAGACGGCTGGGAAAGCTTCGTTCTGCCTCTCAAGGATCGTGACGACTTGGCTAGAAATCACGGCCCCGTGAAGCTTTCCTTCAAAAATCGTGCCCCTTACACGATGCCACCTCAATTCAACGGCATACAAGTACCTTATGGCGTTCCCTCTTCACCTGCGTTTATACCGCAGGAGCAACTGCAGCAGTTTGATCACCATGCTATGAATGGTGTCAACGGACACAGTCAGAAGGGTTCGCAGCTCTCAGCCGCTGTCCCGGACTTTGCACCATCAGGGGCTGTTCAGAACCCTGCGGCCAAAGCGAATGGTACCGTCAACGGCATCTACGAAAAGCAAAATAGTGTTCACGCCGGGGCTGAGGCGTAAGAGCGATCATCTGCCGCTTATCGCCCATGGACGCCCTGCAATATCATGCCGAACAGTGGTACGGCAGATCAAGCATGCAGAGCAACTTGCGATAGATCAGCAGCTGCTCTTCAACAAGATTTCGTTTGTATCTTGTTGGCATGATGGTTAAAGCGAGCGAGACTTGTGAGTCTCGAATTAGACGGCATGTAGTTATTCAGAGCCTCGTGCTCTGAATCGGGACATGCTTTGACCCTGGAATTTGGGTACCAAAAGTTTGACAAGGCAAAGGGTCACGGCGTTTGCATCAGGGTTTTCCGAAAATTGAGTCACTGGCTTGATTAAGTGAGCTGCCGAGTCCGAGCAAGGACGGTGTCGTTGGAATCCCGTCACCTTCCCTGGTTTTCTTCGGGGTTTTTGTTCTTTTTCTTCACTTTCATCATTTGACCATCTCACCATTTCGAGCGACGGGACGACGAAACTCGACACGATCTTCTAAGGTTATATAATTGTTTTTTTTTCTTCACAAAAAAAGAGCTTCGGCATCAGACATCAACATCGAAACAGCAGAAGCGTGAAAACTTATGAGGGAGACTTGACTACCGACCAATTCACCCTATCGACATATACAGTGTACCCTAACATATTTGAAAAACACAAAAACAGAGAGCACAGTTGTCTTTTTTTTTTTTTTTTTGAGACGCAGCGCGCACATGATTCCGAATGGAGTCGAGCTCAAAGTGGACTTGTTTTTTCCTGGGTGTGGGCGCGATCTGCGTCTATATACTTAAGATGAGCCGCTTTTCCGGTTTTTACTGTCAGCTCTCATATCTTTCGACACCACTTTATCGCATTTTAAACGCGCAATCATCTGTTTCGCCAATTCATCACTAGGATGCACGTTGGTCCTTTTCGCTTTTTCTTGCTGTGTTATCGGAAGAAGAATTATTAAATTGTGTGATGAGATGGTCTACACAACTATACTCGGGCATCAAATCTACCAAGAAGCTGCCTAAAAACGTTTTCTTTTCTGATTTGGATGGTCCCTACCCTTGAGTTGTTTTCTTCGCGTTTCATAATCGATTTATCTTCTGTCTTGAGTCATCTGGACTTGGTTCAAGGGTTATAAGAAAGGGAGAAAGCGATGTTGGATTGTACGATATAGGAAGTAAACTAAATAAACGCGCAATCATTGAGAACAAAAGTACATAATTAGCTCTCATCAAAATTCACTACTCGGCATATCCATGACCGGGAGCGTACATCGGGCATTGGTGATATCTGAGCCTGTGCGCACAACTTACATATGATGAGTAGTCGTTTGTTTGCTCTCGGCATGTTGAAAAGTGTTTGACGGGCGATGATTATATAGTATTGCTCGTCGCGACGCCCTTCGACATAGCGCGCGGCCTTCAGAGATGCGCCGAGAGAGACGATGGACAAGAAGGGTGATAAGCATGGGAGTATGGCAGGGCAGAACACGAAGCGAACATGTTTCCGTCACAGCCTCTAGCCCGGGACTATTCGTCTTCGCAGGCGGACCCCTCGAGCAATATTATTGCGGCTGGGTGGAGGCCACTTCATAGCTGTTTCATGCCACCACGTTTGCACCAAATCATTGACAAGGGTTCCAAGACATTACACATCAAGCAGAGTGCATGGCTGAAAGGCTCATGTCTGAGGATTGGCTCACGCAACATTCAACAGACTCAATGTGACGTGGCGGTCGCGTAAATTATTCGCTATCGTCGCAGAAAGTGTTTCCCTGGTATGGGCTTCACGCTTGAAATCGTAGATTATAGGGTCAGAGGCGGACTTGTACAATAAGGCCTATGAGTCGGTGCGAGTGCTTGCCACGAACGTGTGATCGACTCTTCTGCCCATCGGTTGGCCCGATTTCGTCAGCAAGGCACACGACATCGGCGGCGGCGACCTGCGCTGCATGTAAGCATGAGGTAAAAGGAACCCGTATATGCGCGAAAGAAGATGTTCGAATGGAAATACATTTACAAAGGTCTCGAAATGTGTCGCGGCCTAAAAGCTCGTGTTTTCAATCGCTGCAATGCTCTTCATTGTACGCTGTTAACATGTATTAAAGTACGTAGCTTTGAGTTTACTCAGACTGCCAAAGACAGATTGAGAAATACCTTGCCGGCCTGGCAACGCAGGTGATGAGGCCACCAAGCCCACTAATGCTGCGGCAACGACTACAGAAGAGAGAAAGGCTAGATTCAATATTTGAAATAGTATAGTGCAAAACTTGAAATCTCAATTTCCAACACACTAGAATCTGTAAACTATTCCGTCTGCCGGGTGATGCTTTGCCTTCAGACCTTCCTAGTATCTAAGCGGAGGAATGGCGCCTCGTAGCCCATCACCTCAGTCCCTTTGCGATGAATAATGAAGCGATTTCGTGGCTCTCCGTCGCAATGGATATAGCCACACTGTGCACAGCCCAAATACTCGTGTCTGTCCAGCGCGGAGCCTGGCAGGTCCATGGCGCGTGGCACGAAAAGGTTAGGCCACAGGCGCCGGACTTCCTAGATACCAGAACTGAGCTGAATCAGTACACCCTAAGCGAGCGAAGAAGAGAGAAGAATGGGGCTCATGCTACCTGAATGAGTCAATGTCTACATTTGAGGGTTCATGGTATAAATGAAATCATATATACAACTAGTCATCTGACCGTATAGCTTCATAATAATATCAATAGCTCCATTATCAATCAAACAAGGTCGGAACTCTTTATAGCGACACTGTGCCTGCTTCTCTTCTTCTCTCATTGCCATGTCTTTCGTGCATCTACGGCGCAAGTTGGCAGTTGCGGTCAAAAAAGGACCATTGCCAGCCAGTATACGCGCCGCCAATATTGAGCGAGGTGATGGGCGTGTCGAACAGCCAGCAGTTGTGTTCGTTGCCGTCGAGCGAGCCGGCCTCAAACGTCTGGCAGCCGCTGTTGGCCTGGCACGCCTGCTGACAGTCGCCGAGCGTCTGGAGACGCAGGCTTTCAATGGGCTTGGTGATGAAGCTGCCCTGGAGGCCGCAGCGCGAGGTGACGTCGCAGTCGCGGTCGTAAAAGGTCCAGCTGAAGCCGTCCTGCGCGGAGCCAATCTCCATGTCGGAAAGGCTGTGCGCAAAGAGCCAGCAATTGTTGCCGTCGCCATCGACGGTGCCAGCCTCAAACGACTTGCACAGGCTGCCGCGCGCGCGGCACGCCGATGCGCAGTCGTCGATGCTGTCGGCCTTGGTGGCGTGGCTAGGCGGCGTCACGAAGCTGCCCGCCACACCGCACCGCGTGCTTGTCGAAGTCGTTGTGTTGGTGGCTGTGCTGGTGTTGGAGTGAATAGAAGTGCTGTTGAGGAGCGAGCCGCTTGTTGGCAGGACGGCAGGCGTCGTCGTGGTTGACTGGTTCCGGTGACTGGTGCCATTTGCGGAGCTAGATGCGAGACTGCTCGTCGGCAGCGGGACGCTGTAGTCGGTCGCATTTGCCCGTGAAAGGGTGATGCCGGCAGAAGGCGACGAAAGCCCAGACGTGATGTCGGTGGCGTTCGGCGTGATGCCAAAGGGCGTGGACCGGATAGGACTGTCGCTGCTGCTCGAGTTGCCGCTGCTGCCGGCCCCAAGGCTCGTGAACTTGGCTGCCGAGTTGACGTCAGTTGTTGAGGCCGAGCTGCTGCTGGTAGTATTTGTCGTCGAGGCAATCAAGTCGGTGGACTGGGAGCTGCTAGTCGGGTCCTCAGTAGTCGTCGTCGTCGTCGTCGTCGTGTCGTTGGTGGTGGTTATCAACGAGGTTGTCAATGTGGTGAGGGACGTCGTCGTGCTCGTCGTCGTTGTGGAAGAGCTGGTCGTTGTGGAAGAGCTGGTCGTGGTGGAAGAGGTTGTGGTTGTGGAAGAGGTTGTCGTCGTGTTGGTAAAATTCTTCCAGTTCGGGGACACAATTTCGCCCTGTTCCTGTCTGGGCGCCCAAGCATTATGGCCGTAGGCAGCACAGAGCACCACACAATGGGCCGCCGCCAACATAAGCCCCTTGGTCTGCATCTTCAACTGCCTTCTTTACAGATACAATGGAGTTGTATAGGAAGAAGAAGAAGCAGGCTGGGGAAGGAGAAGAAGGAGTGGAAACCGAATCTACATAATGGGAAGAGGGCAGTAGAAAAAGGACGGGGCCATGGACCATGGCACGGACCCAGGAAGCTTGCTCGAACATGTTATTAGCCATAGAAGAGACCCCGCCGACCAGCAAAGTTGATCTTGCTCCGGAAGAGCAAGTCTCCTCCGCACCGCGCGCGCGTCATGCAGCGAAACGGTCGATCCTCTAAGCCAAGAACAGTTTACTGGGCCGTATTCGTACGATAGAATGTAGCGGAAAAAGTGGAAACAATAAGCCACTCGCTTGGACCGACTTGTGCCAATTGCCTTGGAGACGAGACGTGCTGAGCGGAGGTCGGAGGGACTAGGACAATTTAGACTCTGGGCTTGCAGAGCCTCAGCTGCGGTGGACGGTTCCGGCTGCCCCAGCACCCAATTTTTTGCTGCTGCAAAATTTTTTTCACTCGCTTATTAGGGCCCGCTTCTTGCCTCGCTTTGACAGGGCTTGGAGCCTGACACATTGATGCTTTTCGAGACCGCGACACTGTTGATGAAGAACGATATTAAGACAATGGGATAGCACAACCGTCACTGCCTGCAGACCAGGTTAATGGCTCCGCTGACATTCTCTAGCCTGCCGGCCGGTACTGGTAGAACATCTCTAGGGACGCCACCGCCATGCGTTCCGAGGGTCAACATCTTCATATGGTGCCGAGGCAGACAGAGTTTAGGTCAAAGCGCCCCCGCACTTTTCCCCCACAAAGAGCCTCGACCTCCTCGGTTCCCCGCCCCCGGGCCCAACCCCGCAAACCACACCTGTCGAATCAATTGCCAGAGAAAATCAGGGAGGTGAGTCAATAGATGATGATAATAATTATATTAAAAACGAAACTGAACGTTTTAAAAGGTTTCCCTATGCAACCAATTCGGCCAAGCATTGTTCGTCGGATCAACATCCGTTCCAGACTATCCATACATGCATACATGCATACATGCACACATACATACATATCAGTACATACATACATACAAACATACATACATTAGTCAGTCCCCACCCTCACTGCTTCCTTGTATTTCAAATATTACTTCGTATCTCGAGGCCCGCTCAACCGCGCTGAAAGTAATACCAATAATGACAATATTGAACCAATGAAGCAACTGGACCCAAAGAAAAACCCTGCTGCCTAGCCACATGGGCTCGAAACTTTTCAGTGTGCATCGGCGTGGAAGTACCACGCACCGCCTCACATTGCAGAAATCAGATTTTGGTCTTTTCTTCCATGTGTAATATCTGTTGATTATTGGTTTTCAAGTCCACATTACTATGCTGTCCCCAGCACGCCATGCAAGGTGTCTGTGGTGAGACTTGCGTGTCGACTCGTGTGCTGGTCTTTGGTGTGCAAGTTTCTCTGCATTACAACAATGTCAAATTTACACCAAGTGGTGAATATGTCATACAGCTAAAAGCTCGGTACAAGTGGTCTCTCTCTCTATCTCATTTTTGGTTCGGGGGGCTACTTCGGCGCCACGTGGGTACAATGGCGTGGCCATGAGTATAATCGATTCAGCTTCCCCGCTGCGGCACCCCAAGTCGGCGCCAAGGTAAGAACGCTGTGGCAAACTAACAATTTATTTATACAGGAATACACATCATGAGTTGGAACGAATGAGAGAATTTTCGATCCAAATGGGACTAACCTTGTTCATCATCTTGCTACCCCATGCTGATTGTGCCTGGCCTGGGGCGAATGTCCTTGAACTTCAATCTTGACCTCGACTTTTGTTTATTAGGTTTCAAGCCCATTCTCAGCCCTCTTGGCGGGAGTTTTAGCCTACTCTTCGTAAAGACAAGCATCAAATCGATACCAGCACCGCGTAACTCTGGAAAGCAGAATGTGCTGCATGTAACAGGCTGGTACCGCGCCAAGCGGTGCCGTCACCTGAAAGCAAAAGCAGAAGAAAATTTTCGCTTTTTGTTTGCAAATGATGCGGGTTTGCCTGTGCAATGGCTCCTTGCTGGGCAATAGAAAGCCCAGCATGTTGCTATTCTGTGTCAAAGCCACCCTTTGACTCGATAACCTCCCGCAATCCTAGCTGCCTTGATTTGGACTTGATTGTAGTATCATTGCAGGAAGAGAGCCATTAAGAGTGACCGGGATATGGATAAACTGCTTGTGAAGTATCTGGCTGGGTGCATCTTTAGCTTCGACGCCATCTTTCAACATTCGGACTGCAACGATCAGAAATTCGACAACGTTGCCGGAAAAGTACTCGTTTTGCTCTATGTTCTCCGGTCGGCATTCTTGACCACACTGTAGTCGGCGTTGTCTTGTTTCCGCAGCTAGCCTCCCACAAAAGACCAGAATCCAGCGATCCGAGTTTCGATTCTACACCCGACCCTCATCAGGGGCAAAAGTTGCCCAAAGTCATTCAGCGTCAAATCGATTTCCACTTGAGTAACTCAAGTTGAAGTCGATGAATTGAGCCTTACTATAGACGAGTCTATAGACGGCATTGCAGCTCCAAACAACGGATCTCATAGCTGGGCTGGAACTTGAGTAGTGCATGTGCTGCCGACTCAATCGCCAGGCATCACTTGTCCGTCGGGCAACAATCCAAACAATCGCGAGAACTATGGCGTTCCTCTTCCGTCAAGATATGACAAACCCGTACCCACCTGACTCTAAACTTGGGATTTTTGCAGCTTAGTGCCCTTGATATGCGTAGTTGTCGTCATCAAATTTCTTTTACGGCCTCGACCAAGCGTGCTGCACAAGACTTGATAAACAAGCCATTCTCACATTTCTGCGTCAAATGCCGACAGAATATCCTCAGAATGCACTCCAGCCGCTTTCTTGGCTCTGGAAGAACATTGTCATGGGAGACTCTAGCCAGAACAGTCGAATCGACGCCGTGGTTCGGTTGAGAAGCGCAGGAGGATAGTCGCACCTGCAGTCGTCAAATATTAACGAGACAAAGGCAGTCGCTTGGTGCTCTACCAGCTTGCGATCGTGTAGTAATTACCGACCTTTTGTAAATCGTGCGCAGAGCAGTGACAGAGCGACCAGCCTATGCGTAGGGAAGCGTCGCCGCAGTGAAACGCAACGGTAAGAACAGCAATAATGATCATCATGATAAAAGCGAGACAGCGCATTCCATAACCATTTTCGGCGAAGGCAACTCCGGGTCCAGAGGCAAGTATCTGCTAGCCAGAGTCAGCAGGTCTCATCCTATGGGGAAGGACAACCCGAGTCTATAATGTTGTTACAGGTCAAAATGAACCCAACACGAAGCAGACCTCGGTAGCCATCCCAGCCAATAACGCCACGTTTTGTTGGCTTGTGAGCTACGTGTGCTCAGGGAAACTCCGTCGGTGCCACGGTATGTTCACTCCGCCCGCAACCCAAGAGCCAAGACTGACATGGTCGCTATGCTTTCGAACACTGATTATAGATGAATGTTTCATCTCGAGCGTGTATATGGATTATGGTCGCGATCTCGAATGACGGCGTTGGCAGAATTAGGGCGCCTCGAGAGAAAGTCGATAAAATTACTCGGACCAAGTCCGCAAACGAAAGGACAAAATGAGTCGGTCAACTCAGAATGATTATGGCTAGTGATTGCATTCCTTTTTCTACCATTTCTCTCATTTCGGAAAGAATAGCAAACAGTCGACGAGGATTAGAGGATCAATTTTGGGACGCACAAGGTTGGGTTAGCATGCCAACACAACAATGCATGATCATCGCCAATCCGCGATGTCTTTTCTCATACAGTTATACAGAACTTGGCTGTGGCACATCAGGAGTCACACTGTACGAAATACGCCCCGCGGGCAAGAAGAAGAGCGCCACAACCGGTCCGCCCCGCGCCTCGGGGTAGTGATGCGTGCCTGGACCGGGGGACGTCCAGCCAGCGCCCTGCCACCCGTTCATACCCTTGAGCTGCGCATCTTCGGCCATTGGTATAACGCAGTTAATCTCGCCGTACGGGTGCAGATGGTACTGGCCACGCAGAACCTCCTCGTTGCGCGTGCTTGGGTTCATGTAGACGGTAGTAATGCTGCAGAAGCGCGTGGCCTCGGTAGGCGAGCTGATACGCGTGCGGCGGTAGTTTGCGCCCTGCACCTCATCGGTGGCAACCCAACCTTCGTCATCTTCGAGGCCTGCACGTATTATGCGGGCAAAGTCGTCATAAAACTCGTTGCCGGGGCCGTATTCGTGATTAAGGCGCTCCTCGAGATCGCGGCCTGGAGTCCTGTATAGATCATGGGTCAGTGGACGATGGAGGTCTGGTGTAGGGACGCACACGCTCACAGATTCTCGATTTCGGACAGGAAATCTGCTACGCGCTGGATGAGTTTTTGGCAGTTCGGATGCGTACTTGAGGACATTTTTATAGAGTCAGGTGTCGGTGTAGACGGCGAAACGTGAGGGGTAAGCTAGGGTTATTCTACTATGCAATAGCATGTAGGTAATGCTGCTGGAATCCTTAACACACTAAAAAAGGCATTCCAGCAAGCCACTGTTATATTCAATGTATATTGTATTCAATAAGCAAGATCTTTCTTTTATCCAAATTGGATCAGTTGCATATTAGACTTGATCAGGCATTTAGGCCGCCATCACGAGGCCAGCAATTGCGGCAATGCCGGCCATAGCATTGGCTGTCGCAGCAGCGGCAGCAGCGGTGGACGGAGAACTAGTCAGCGAACTTGCCGTCCTAGAGCCGGAAGCAGAGCCAGTTATGCCAGTGCCAGTGCCAGTGCCAGTGACAGAGCCGCTCGAAGTTGTTGAATTGTGGGTGGTGACCCCGGAGCTGCCTGAGTAATGCGAGCTAGACGAGGAAGTCGAGCTCTCAGTGCTTGACGGCAAGGAAGTGGGCGTCAGAGATGATTCCGAGGTGGGAGGCCTGAAATGTGTTGGCATGACATGTTCTTCTGAAAATAGGAACCAAACTCACAAGGGGTGCGTAGTGTGTGCCGAATCGCTGGTGAGGATCGGGATGGTAATTTTGTCCGAGCCGCTGGTGGTCGAAAGCTCTGTGAAGGAGACGATTGGCTCAATAATGGAAAGACTCGCAGTAGGCGTCGTCTCGCCTCCAGTTTGAACAGGATTGCTGTTCTGCGGGGGCCGCTCGCTGTTCGAACTGTGAGCTGAGCTGAATTGAGTCTACATTGCATGGTGCCGCGAGTGCCTACCGAGGGGCGACGGCGCTGACCGCAGCGGCCAGGAAGAGGAGCGTGAAATTCATGATCAGAGATAATACGGGAGTCTCTATTTTGTGACTTTAAAATTTTATGAATGATACCTGGAGTTGGAACAGATGGCAATGGTTGGTGATATCAAAGAGAAGCTGGCAAAGCGGGTTACGCGGCACTCTAGTGGTCGAGACCGGCGATCGTTACGCTCCTGCCCGATTCGGCAGCCCCGCTAAAATGGCGAGTGCCTATTGGACGCAGAATATGATCACACTGTATTGGGCACTGTGTTGGTTTACCCTGAATACGAGATGCGCAAATGCAATAGTTGCCTATTAGGTGTGGCATATGTTGAGCGGTTTGCACCGACTATTTGCCAGGTTCAATGTCACGTGTACCTTACTAAGCACCCAAACGAAGATCAATGGGTGAAGGCTCTTTTGAAAGTATGAAGGAATTAGGCTCGTGCCAATCCGCGCCACCCGCCGTTTTAAACGGCTGCTAAATACGCATGATACGCTAAAGACCTCGCCTATGGCCGAACAACGTGGCCAAGTTCACACTAAAAACACAACACACTTTGAATAAAGGAACAGAATATTAAATCCCCGGCCTGTAAGCTTGTACGCAGCCCCAGGAGAAATCCTGTCTAGAGTGTCTGTGGCATTGCTCGCTGGCTTCTCCTTGGCCGCATAGCGTAGTTTATGGGTCTCGGAGCGGGACGAGCCTTGTTAGAACCCGCGAATGTTCAACAACGAGTCGTTTGAAAGTTGCTTTTTGTGAAATTTAAGAGTGGCAGCCCTCGAACAGCAAAACACCACAAACATGAGCAGGCGGTTGAGGTGGACGAGATGAGATGACGTCATTGGCAGGAAAGTACTTGTTGGGCTGGTATCGAGCGTGGCGCAGTGGGGACTTGGGCGAGGCGTTTCGCCAGGCAATCCATGTCTGACATTCTTTCAAGGAATAGCAATTGTGCGGCGGGCGGTGGAAGTACTGATTGCGGCTTTTCGACCAACTAGCCACCATAAAGGGGCGAACAGTTGCTTTCACCGCGTGTGCTCTTCCTTTGTCGAGCATCGAGGCTGTGTACAGAGTTAGGGTCAGCTCGGATGAAATCTTGGGTCGTTGGGGAGAAAAGAGGGATCTAGCAGAACAACATGTACGTCGAAGCCCGGGGCCGCCGATGGCGCGATTGATAGGTCATCTCTTGGCTACCAAAGTCTGCGACAAGTTGAGACGTGTCTTTAGCCGTTGCCCTTGCTACCCACTACAGCGTGTGAGTGCTTTAGCAAGAAGTAAATGAGCCGCAAGAGCCGTAAAGAGATATAGGCATAGGTAACTAGCCGCCTGCACAGCAAGGTGTAGCTGATGACGTAGTAACTACACCTAGCATTAAGCTGGCCATATCACAGCATGTATTACTTAACGTTTAACAATCAAAATCAAGAAACAGAAGTCGACGCCACTTTAATGAATGGGCCCGTTCAATCAGAGCAGGGCCTTTGCACGGTTATTACAGAACCAAGAGAGCCAACGAGATGCCGCCAGAGAGCCAGGCAACCAGGGTAGGTACGGGTACTTGTAGCCCGTGTACTCGGCAAATTCGCCGCCTGCTAGGCTGCTGCTGCCATGGCTGCCCGTCCCCAACAACATACCCCGCCAACTTCCTTCTTCTGCCGTTTTCCCCTGCCATGCTTTTGACCGCCCAGGCCAGAAGCTTTGTCCGAAACTTCGACCTGATTTATTTCGAGTCGTCAATGTTTCTTTTCACTCTTATTAGACCCGTAGTTATTACATTTATGCGCTAGCTACCTAAGTATCGTGCCCGGACTGCCCCCTGGTCCGACGCAGCCCACTCCTCCAACCTCGTCATTTGCTGGGCTTGGAGCCACTCTTCTGCAGTTATCTGACGCTTCGCCTCACACTTAACGCCCGACTTCTCCACAAGCAACTCGCCTTCTTCATCTTACATCTGCTCAGTTCATCAATTACCACAATATTTACTTCATTCATCAACATCAGACTCCACAGTTCACGTAACCAGGCAAAGAGCCCTGACTGGCCATGGCCTCCTACGATCCCTATGAGCGACAATATCCTCGCCAATATGTTCGTGAAGAGCGCAGAGAACCTGTCCGCGACAAGTTTCTCGATCCTCGCGACTTTCCCAAGACGCACTCGCACGATCTAGTAGTTCCTCGCCATGATAGCGACCTTTCTGTGGAAGAAATTCACCGCGACTTTCCACCCCCCTCGGTCAGAGATATGCGCCGTGCCCGCTCTGCCGGTCCCTGGGACGATGACTACGGCCGACCGCGTGGCTACGGCGGCCATGACCGCTATGATTCACGATATGACCATAAACGAGACCAAGACTTCGACCGTCGTCATCGTCATGGTCCAAGCAGCAGCAGCTATCAGGAAGAAGAGCGCATCAAAAAAGATAAGGCCAAGTCCAAGCAGGAAAAGATTATCGCAGCAGTCGCCGGCGCTGCTTTACTCGTTGGCGGAAAAGAACTATACGATCGCCACGAAGCGAAGGAGGGTAGCAGCGATGTCCATCGCAATCCTCTCTCCTCGGCGGCTCTCGCTGGCTTTGGCGCTCTTGCTGGATACCAGGGCGCCGAATTCTACAGCAAGCAGCAGGCTAAAAAAGACCAAAAAGCCAACCTCCTTCTTCACCGGGGCCGAGATGGCCAACTCAATGAGTACTACTCTGATGAAGAGGACGGCAAAGAGAAGAAATCCAACAAAAATTTCCTCGAGAGCGCCCTGGCTGCTACCGGTCTAGGTGCCGCTGTAAAGCAATTTACAGGCGGCGGTGACGACAAACGCTCCCGCCGCGGCAGCCCCACTGGATCCCGCGCCGGCTCCCGCGCCGGCTCTAAGGAACGTGGTGGTGGAGGTAACAAGATTCAGAAAGCTGCCATGGCCTCTCTGCTCGCCGGCGCCACCGAGGCCTTTCGCGTAGCCAAAGAGCCTGGTGGTTGGAGAGGTGAAAAGGCCAAGCGCGTGCTGACGGCCGCTGCCGGTGCTGCTACTGTTGATGCTGCTCAAGGTGGCGACAAGGGCACTTTCGGTCTCGCCGAGTCTGTTATCGGTGGTCTTGTCGGCAATCGTCTCATCAACGGCTCCAAGAGAGATATCGAGGAGGACGAAAAGACGGGCCGTAGCCGGTCTCGATCCAGGGCTCGTTCCAAGAGCGGCAGCGGCGGCGGCGGCGGTGCCGGTCTTGCTGCACTCGCTACGGCGGGTCTTGGTGCCCTTGGTGCCAAGAAGGTTCTTGATCGCTCCCGCTCCGGCAGCCACAGCCGTAGTAGACGAGCGGACTCTTATGACTCCAGAGATAGATCTCCTGATCGTCGCCGGCAGCGCAGCAGAAGCCGCAGTGTTGTCGATCGTGCCCGCAACAGCCTTGCCAAGCTTGGGATTGGCAGTGCTGGTGCTGGTCCTTCAGATGACAACCGACGACGAGACCAGGATGATTTTGACGATCGTGACCGCCACCGATCCCGGCGCCACTCCGATGATTACGACGACAGATATCGCAGAGACGGCAGAGACGAGAGGGATTACGCACGAGCACCTAGGGGCAGCCGAGACCGATCCGTCTCTCAATCTCGTCGCCGTGGAGGACGTTCCGACTACGAATCTGACACGGACCTGGGGGACTCGGACGATGATGAAAGAAGGGCGAAGAAAATGAGAGGTAAGCAATTGATCACTTCAGGTCTTGCTGGTGTTGCCACTATTCATGCTGCGCATGAGGTTTTTGAGAATTTGGAAAAGCGCAAAGCAAGGCAAAAGGCTGTCAAAAGTGGCCAACTATCCAAGGGTGATGCCAGGAAGCTGAAAACCAAGGCCTTGATCAAGGATGCCACAGCCGTGGGCATTGCCGCGCTGGGAATCAAGGGTGCCTTCACCAGTGTCAAGGAGGCCAAAGAGCTGCAGCACGAGTGTAAAAGCTTCCAGCTCGAAAAGGCCCGTCGTCACGAGAGGCGAGAGAAGCGCCGTAAACGCCAAGAAATGGGGCCACGGCGTCGGTCCGGCAGTCTTCCTGCGCCACGAAAGCAGAGATTGATTGACTGGGAAGATGACATTCCTCGTTACGACGACGAGCACTACACAAGGCGCCCTGCAGCGCCGCCACTGCGACACCACGCCTTTAAGGAGCAATGAAGCAATGGCCGTATGACAGCTTGTGTGACGGCTCGCTTGACTTTCCACGTCGGCACAGATTCTATTGGCTTCAGATTCGTGGCGTTTGCAAAGACTTAGCGTTCCACCAAAATGATTTTTGCTTTTCAACTATTCTGAATGAGAACTAATGTGTGATGTGATAGGCCATCGTCGATACTAGGTGGAACCGTCCACGACGGACCGACGGAGCGTGCCCGCGGCGCCAAAGCAGGGTGAGCCGCACAGCGCACGATACGAATACAGGGTTTTGCTGCATGAAGATGCCGGTTACCCGAGGAGGATTTATGGAACGTGACGCTGTACGACTAACTTGCCAGGGGTTTCGTCTGCGTGGAAACAACCGACTGAATGAATTAATGAGTGCTATAGCTACAGACAGATACCTGAATGGAATTTTGCCATATATGAAGCCCGAGTCTTGCAACTAATGGTCGCTTGTTGTATGCGGAAAAGAGCACGTAGATAGATGGACGCTCAGCTCTGACAAGGTGGGACAGTCAGGGGGTTGGCATGGCTTGCAGCTATGGTGAGAGGATGACATCACCACTTCAATCGATCGAGCCCAACCGTCTGAGGACCTTTAGCCTGTTCACATTTGTCGGAGTCGATTTGATCCTAGAACAAGTGCAAGTCATTTGCATATTGACCCAGCCACTATATCCGTATTACAATGCTACTCTGGAGATTGGAGGAAACAAAAAACGCTAATGTACAACAACGCCACACTCTCTTCCCGTCCTCCATCACGACAGGCTGCCGCCCGTCTGCTTCCAGCTCTGCGCCATGGCCAGCATGTTTGACAGGTTGCCAGCCTGCTTGTCGTCGGCAGGGAAGACATAGTCAACGTACTCCTCGTAGGTGTCGTCGCCCTCGACGCGACGCCTCTTCTTGACACGGCGGGGCATCTGCGCCTGCACCTTGTCGACGTCAGCCGCGCCGCCGTGCGTACGCTCAAACGACAGCCAGGCGTTGAGCAGCGACACACGCTCCTCCTTGAGGTCCTTGTCACGCATGCTCTTGTGTGCGCGCACAAACACCGCTCTGGTCCTCTCCTTGGCTTCTTCGCTGACGGGCTGCTCCTCCTCGTCCTCCGCTCCGCCTTCCTCGCCGCCTTCGGGAATGTTGACCTCGAAATGCGCGTAGCTGATCCAGACCTTGACGTGGTCCGTCTTTTCGAGGAGACGCTCATACAGCGCCCGAGCCCTATCGTATTCGCCCTCGCCCTCCTCAAAGTCAATGTACGCTTTCCAGAGCAGCTCTGGCATGTCGAGCTGGTCTTGGCTTACTGCCAGCTCAAAGATGGCGCGCGCACGGTCAATATCTTCGAGCGCGCATTCGAGCTCCGCGAAGCGGATCCACGTCGTGCAGTTGGCCGGGTTGTACTCGACATGCTTCTCGTAGAGCGTGCGGCAGCGCGCAAACTCGTACAGCCGCCGCTCCAGGTCAACGTAGCCGACAAACAGCCGATCCTTTGGGCACATGCCCAGAGCACGGCCCAGCAGCTTGCGTGCTGCTGTCAGTTGGCCCTGCCGGATCTCGAATTGCGCCGCCAGCAGCCAAATCTTGGCAAAAGTAAACTTTTTGTGCGGAATCAGGCCTAGGCACGTCGTGTAGATCTGGCGCGCACGCTCTGCATCCTGGCCCTCCATCTCCTCCCAGATAGCGTAAAAAATCCAGAGATAAATGTATCGACGCCAGTGGCGCTTCTCCTGCGTCGGCGGCATCTGGGCAACGGCGCGCTCATAAACGTCGCGAACGCGGTCGGCGTCGCGGGATGTTTCTTCCAACGCGGCGAAATCGAACCACGCATCATAGTTTTTGGGATTCTCGCGGACCAGGTTCTCGTAGTACACGCGGCGCTTGCTCAGCACCACGTCCTCAACGCCGTCCTGGTCACCAAACTGCTTTTCAAAGGTAGTGTAGCTTTTATGCAGCGCGGCTGACTTGGAGCGCGGCAGCCGGTCTAGGGCGTATTTGTATATGGCTCGGGCGCGTTCGTATTCCTTGAGCTTAGACTCGAAGCGGGCATAAGCAATGAAAAGCTTCTCATCGACATGTTCGTCGCCTAGCGTCTCAACCGCATTACCGAAGACCTCTCGCACGAGGTCGCTTGTACCGAATTCCTCCTCAAATTTGGCCCACTTGATCCAGTTGCGCGGCTCCGGGTGAATCTGCGTGAACATGGCAAAAATTTCGCGCGCCCGCTCCAGCTCGCCATATCGCTTTTCGAGCTTGATATAAGCGCCCCAGGCCAGCTCGTCGGGTTGCCACTGCATCCAGCGGTCAAATACCTGGCGTGTGCCGGGAATGTTGCCCAGCATCTCCTCCATGTAGACGTACTTGTACCATAGCTTATCGACGCGGGGTAGGCGACTGACAGCGCGGTCGAGAAGGTTGCGGGCGTGATTGATGTTGCGCGTCTTCATCTCGGACTCGATGTAGCGCACCCACAGCTGCACCGAGTTTGGATGCACGTCGAGGGCGCGCTCAAAGACGGATCGCGCGCGCGCAAACTCCTTCTGCTCCAGCTCCCACGCCGCATACTGCGTCCAATTGCGCAAGCTGATACGATTGCGCCGCACATAGTCCTCAAACTCCTTGCGCTTGCGACCCTGGTACTCATGCAGCTCCTCAAGATCAGAGAAGCGCTGCTGCGGCGCCTGGATCCCGCCCTCTTGTCGGTCCACAGCCTCGCGCAGCAGCTGCTCAGCCGAAATCTGCACGGGCGCAGCGGCCTTGTTCTTCACCCGAGGGGGGCCGCGTGTCGACTCCATGAGTAGCTCGTCGGGCGGGTGTGGTCGATATTTATGCGTTGTCGATGAGGGACGCTGAGATGGTGTACAGGCGTGGATGAAATCTGGTTGCTGGCTGCGATAAGCTTTATCGTGCACGGGCCACCCAGGCAGACAGCTGCGGCTGGCTGGTAGCCAAAATATTTAGCTGCCCTCCATCAGCTTTAACCTTTCATCGCAACGCGCATTATCAGCGATTAGATAATTCGACAGACGCCGTCATGTCTACGGTAGCAGACGAACTGCTCAACGATTTTGGCAGCTCAGGCGACGAGGCTGAGGAGGTGGAAAATGGCCTCCAAACTACAACTGTGGACGCCATGGATGTGGATGTTGGAGAGGACCAAGCAGAGGAGGACAGCGAAGAGGCATCCAAGGCCCGAATCGAGAAGATGCAGTTCGGTGCTGTGAAAGATGTGCGCAGCGTCGCCAGCTTGATGGCGACTCTGGAACCAGTCCTAGAGGTAACCCTGCCCACGATGCTTACACAACCACTTCACTAACTGAACTGCTTTGTTCCATTAGAAAATTAAACAATACCAGTCGCAACCCGCCACGCAAGCGGGCATCGGAAACATCGAGGACCACCCCGAATACCACCTCTTGACGCAGTCAAACAGCCTGTCTACGCAGATCGATGGCGAGGTGGCGCTTGTGCACAAGTTCATCCGCGACCACTACTCGACGCGCTTTCCCGAACTCGAACGACTAGTTACAACACCGCTGGAATATGCCAAGGTAGTTTCCATCATGGGAAACTGTCCTATGGACTCGGAGAGTATCAAAGCGCTACAAACGTCGACGGATAACCCGCTGGGCATGGGCCTTAAGGCAGTCCTGGATGGACCTTCGCTCATGATTGTCACTGTCGAAGCCACGACATCAAAGGGGGAGGAAATGACACCGGATGGGCTTGCGCGAGTGCGGCAGGCGTGTGATATGATGATTGCGCTCCATGCAGCCAAGACAAGCTTGACGGAATACGTACAGTCACGCATGAACATCTTTGCGCCGAATCTGACAGCGCTCATCGGGTCGCTTACAGCGGCGCAGCTCCTCAACGCTGCAGGTGGACTGACGGGTCTATCCAAGACGCCAGCCTGCAACTTACCATCGTGGGGCTCCAAGAAGCGCCAGGCCGGTCTAGCCACCAACATTGGCGTGCGCCAACAAGGGTTTCTCTACAACTCGGAGATCATCCGTGGCATCCCCAGCGATCTGAAGAAGCAAGCCATGCGGATCGTCGCGGCGAAGCTTGTATTGGCTGCGCGCGTCGACCGCATTCACTCGAGCCCTGACGGATCCACAGGCGACAACCTCAAGTCGCAGTGTTTAGAGCGGTTGGAGAAGCTCACGGAGCCACCGCCCAATAAAGGAGGCCGTGCCCTTCCCGTTCCCGACGACAAGCCCTCGCGCAAGCGCGGTGGGCGGCGGGCGCGCAAGGCCAAGGAGGCGCTTGCCATGACGGAGCTGCGGCAGGCGCAGAACCGCATGGCCTTTGGCAAGGAGGAGCGCGAGGTTGGATACGGCACGGGCTCGGGCACTGTCGGTCTAGGCATGATTGGGCAGGCCAACGATGGGCGGATCCGTGGAATGCAGGTCGACCAGCGGACGCGGGCGAAGCTAAGCGCCAAGAACAAAGGCTGGGGCGTAGCAAGCACCGTCGGCGGGGGCGCGGCGTCGTCTATCAGCGGCTTCGGACAGACCAATGGCATGGACCTCCGCGGCAAGGGCCTTCGGACGTCGGGCGTGGGCAGCACTGTTGGCGGCGGCGGCGGCGCAGGCACGGCGTCGTCACTGGCATTTACGCCGGTGCAGGGCCTGGAACTGGTGGACCCGAAGAAGCAGGCGGAGCTGAGCAAGAAGCGCAAAGCCGAGGAGGATCGTTGGTTCCAGGGTGGCACCTTTACACAGCTGAGCGGCGCCGGCTCGGGATGGTCAAACGGATTCAAAATTCCGGACCTGCCAGCGTCCAAGAGGCAGAATACAGGTGCCGCCAGCAAGGTGCCGCCACCGAACAAGTAATTAGCCGATTCTTTTGTAATTGACTACGAGAAGGTGATGTATGTGGCAGTGAAAAGATTTCCAGTTTGATTTTAAGGAAGAATCTGGCGAATGGCGTTGCAGGGAAATCGGTCGTCGTGTCATGACTATATCATGATGCGCCGGAAAGGCATGTAATTTATAACTATGCATACAATATTACCCATATTTGTCAAGTTTACGCGGCAAAACAGTTCCCGCCCGGTGGGAATGGCAGGCAATTATATGCCAGTCCTGCGATGCACCGTCCTGCAATGTTCCAGCCAGAGCTTTCAGTGGGAACCCTTAATATGGATGGGCAGCGTGACAATGTCGTACGGCATCGGCATGCGATTGTTGAGTATGAAGAACAGGGTTCGCGGGGTAATAGTGCGAGAGGCTGGTGGTACAACTACTCCATTCTACTGGCAAAGATGGAGATACATGGGTACAGAGTACAGATGGACAGAGTGTCAAAACGTGTGTGTTGCACTGTTGACCCCGTAGAGAGGTAGTAGGAAGATGTATGTGGCTCGACGCACTCACACTGCACGATCTCAATGATAATGCGCCAGCCACAAAGGAACAGACATGCTTCCTCACCAAGAGGTGCTCCACAAGCGCCCCAAAATCCGTGAAGAAAGCAAGGTATGGCTTGCACACAAGGTGACCGTGTGGCTTTTGCGTAGTCAAGCAGTGTGCTGCCCCAATGTAAAAGGATGTGTATTGGTGATTGGCCTGTGTGGCCTCTCAAAGCTATGTCACATCACTGAAATACGCCGCCTAATTGACCGCTTTCTTGCTGGGGCTGGCTGCTGTTTTCCCTTTTATTTTTCCCCTTCGCCCAAAACAACACTTAGTCACAGGATTAGTATTACAAGTGAGTAGGGTCTCGTGGTGCCTTTGTTTCCCATCTGAGCAGGGGTTAAAACGGCGGTGGCGTGCGTTGTCTAGCCTGACATTGCATGGCCGATGACGGTTGACATGTTGACATGCAAGCATGGTAGCAAGGGGAGGAAGCACCGCAGCACGTGTATTACCGAGACTTTTCATCGCGCAACAGTTGTTCAATCCGGCTTGAATGTCACTGGCAAGGTCAATGGTTAATCAAGGAGATAAGCCGAATTCCACAATCGAGGAGAGGGGAAGAAAATAAGGCTGACACATGTACATTGAGTGAGATTTGCGCGTGTCTCTTTTTCTGATCACTGACGAAACTTGCCATCCGGCACCAAGGGAATCCAATCTGAGGCAGTCTAGATAACTACGAGATAGATATCTCGCGCTGTTCGTTGACGCGAACGGTAAGCTACTCTGGACGGTATTACATAGTCATCGACAAATCTATGACGCGGAGACGTTAGACCACTTTTTGCTTTCTCCTCTAATTATACCTCCCACCCCTGCTGGCGTCCCACGTTACAACGGGGCACAACGAAGACACAAAAGGGAAGAGAAAACGAGAAATATTACTTGGCGCCGCTGAACATCTGCAGGTCCGCGTGTAAAGACGGGGTGTGCGTGAGTGGCCGGGTTGGCATCGAGATGCGAGGGTGTATTTTATCGCTTCTTTATTTCTGATTACTACTTATAGAGGGCGACCAGGGTGCAGAGCCAGGCTGGCGGGTCTGCCGATGAGGGGCAGGGACCTGGCACCTGTAGGGCAGTATAGAATAGACTGACCGCGTGGGAAAGAATTGGTAAATGAGAAGGGTCAAAGGGGCAACCTTGGTGCTTGGGCACAGGCAGAGGGGAGTTTCTGGTCAAGAAACATGGGCTGGTCAGTAATTTTGATTGGAAAGGCGAAAAAGGTGGCAGCATACTCCGCACAATCATGTACTTGTAAGCTAAGCAACAGCAGTGAGTCCGGAAATCCGGTATTGAATAGGCGGGTTGCCGGACAGGCTGCGGGCTACGTTCGATTCGACCTTTCGGAGCGGGCTTGCTCTATCAGTAGTTAGGTCCCTTGCCTACCCTGATTGCCTGACTGCAGATTACCAGTACATATCCCATCTACCGGTACCAGTAACTAGGTTCAGGAAGACAGCCAATGGCACCCTGTGGCTGGGGGTGTGGCTGTAGGAGAAGAAACCCCTGTGGCGCAAGAGGTACCCGGATTGACGGATCCGCAGAAGTGAGTGTGCTCCAGGGCTCACCGTTTTCCCGATTCACCAGCGAAAAATCCGATCTGAAGACAAACGGCGCTTGCTAAAATGGGGGGTTTCCCCCACAAGGAGCCTCCACAAGAATGAGCGGGGAGAGCTGAGGCTGGTGGGCATGCGGGTGCGCCACACCTTGTCAGGGTTGGCAGCACTGCCACACTACTGGACTGATAGGCACAGCAGAATTGAGTTTACAGGGGACTTGTTCCCTGTTCCCTTCCGGACCCGGCCCTAAAAAGGGCCCTTCAAAGGCTAACTAGTTAATTATAACCGCTCTGTTTTCTTGAGCGGTGTGTCGGCTTAGCTCATGGCTCAGTAATAAGTGTCGTCTGCGTGGTATTCTCCAAAGTCCTCGGGTTCTTCTCGAACTTGAAACCGCAAATTAAAAAGGGCATACACAAGATAGACGTCAGGCTTTCACAGAGCCAAGAAAAAAACAGAAGGCAGAACTCGGTGGCTGAAGCCGTGAGTATTGGTAATTAGTATTTATGGAGGGGCTTGGCAATCCGCACCTCGTGCCGCCGTCTATATTTTGTGCTTGCGGGTGTGTGCTTGGAAAAAAATTGACGAACAAGGCACCATGGCTTGATAAATAGCGTCTCTGTACGGATTACATATCTACCATCGAGATGTTGGTCGTGCTAGATCGAGATATTGCTTTGCTCTGATGTAAGAAAAGTGCACTCAATCGTTCCTGCTCACAACTCCTACGCCAACTTGTGTGTTTACCGAATTTTACAAACGCCCATTTCTTCCCTTATTACCCGTTCTACCATACGCAGCCCCTGATCTAGACTTTGCTGTGCTGAGGCTGACGCGCCGGGTTGCCGCCGCGAAATAAATTGACCAAGCCCCTCTTCGCGAGCAGATGGCAACTGCATAATCTTCCAATCACCGAACAAGGCGAGAGTTTGTACTAAGTCTTCTGCGTTTCCTCTTCACGATTCAGCTTTCTGGTCTAACTAGCCCCGAACCCCCGAATGCATTGGGCTGGAGTTCTACCAACAATATAAGCAGCATGGCAGATTGTTAGCCCTATCGTGTGCCCAACACCTTAACTAAACGACCGCGGAAAAGTATTAACTGAGCACATTTGGCCTTTGACTGGCCGCCCGCAAACAGTGGGCTCTTGCTGGCCCTTCAGGGTTCTTGTGCTCACAGCCTCATGCAGACCCTTTCTCGGCCGTGTGCTGGGCAGCTTTCCCCACAGCGGCCGTAATTGAAAGTGAGGGGTTCTTTTCACAGGCGGTTCCGTTTCAAAAAGAGCTCACCTCCGGGCTCGCTAGCCGAGAAACACAGACTGATACGCCACAGCACTCACGATGCGCTCATAAAATTTCCCGTTGCTCTCACTAGTCATAGCCTACACCCAATTCTCGGCATAGATAACCTACAGTGTGCAACTAGTCATTAGGATGCTAGGTGCTGGTGGTACACGCGCAGGTCGAGAAGCAACGCAGCGTCAAAGAAAAGTTGCCGCCTGACAATTCGCCCCCCCAGCAGACTCTACAGCCTGCGAAACTCAAAGACTCAGTAGATACGTGTTGTAGGCACCTAGGCAAATTGTAGGAACACGCCCATAACTAATCTAACAAGCAGAAGAATCGTATTTACCTGCTTACAGTTGCTGAGTCATTAGACAGGCGACCCTGGTACCCAAAACCTGCGACAGAGAGCCGAAGGGATCAGACACAAGGAGCCTAAATTGTGAGAGACTGTCCTGATTGGTTAAGGTGCGGTACCGGTAACTGAGCCTTGACCACCCAAAAAATGTCGCCAACGCCATGATGGTAAAGTTCAAAATCCCATGTTTCTTGAGTTCAGCCGGTTGTTCCGGGAGTTGAGGGGTGGCTGACTTGCGGCCAATTATGCGACGGAGCAGGACACCACCTTTGATTGCAAGAGCCCGCTTTATGCGTCTCGTCGAGACACCCAATAAAACGAGACGGTAAAGACTATCCGCTTCACTAATAAATGGAGCTAGTTGAAACAGAAGAAAAAAAGAACGAATAATTTTCAAGTGCCACCAACAGCTACTTTTTTTTGGAGGAACGTGCCCAGTGTGCTGCGCTAGCAGCGGACCTTGTACCCTTGAGACCCTTTTCACCGGGCGGCTTGATAAAAAAAATTGGTACCTGCTGGCGATTCTAAACCGGAGAGCTGTATTTGACCTTTCGGCCGACGAGCATTGTTGTAGCGCAACCGAGAGCGACGCATGTCGTTCGAGATTCGGGTCTTTTACTGCAGAATGGCTGCCAGGTTCTTGCCGTTGATGATACAGTACCCGGAGCAGTATAGACTGACAATCCGATAGAGATTTTCTTCTGTTCCTCGTTCCTTGTGACAGATTCCCGAGAGTTGTACCAGGGCAACTAACTACCTAGACCAGGAACTTTCCGGTAGCCAGTAATGACCCCTTGTTGCCAGTAGCTGTACCTAGGGGCGTGCGCGCCCACGTCCGTCTCAGCCTCTATGACGTCGACGACAATGTGTAGGGGTTTATTAGTACGGATACGGCGTAAGGGCGTAGTAATCCCAGTGTTGGCGCTGGTTCTTCAGCCGACCAGCCAAGTAGAAAAGAGGACCAAAGCAAAAATGCAAAATGATCTGCTAGGGCTTGCGGAACAGCTTCTCCGAGATGGCAGCTTGCATCGAGAATATCAATTGCATATTGCAGCAACACCAAACCAGTGACGTCTCGTGGCTAAGGGTCTTGCTAGCCTCGAGAAACAGGGAACAGTCATGCATGAGGGCACGCCGTAAGAAGAAATCACAAGAGCGAAAAAAAAAAGTGGCCGAGAGACCCCAAAGTGGGCAAACGATCGAGATCACATACCAGAGCGCTGTCCGTGGTTTTTGTGGATCTGCAGTGAAGAGAGAATTTCAGTGCACGGGTTGACGCCGACGGGCACGACGGGGAAGGGGAAGCGGAGCAATCGGTGGGCACAAATATCAAGCGCTTTTGGCCACAGAATGGTGTGGGCAGAGCGCTCGCTTTTTTCCTGTCCACCTGCGCGGAGGAAGGGGCCAAATAGGATCCAGATGGTACCACCGAAGTGCACCCTTAGAAAAATAAATCACAACTCATCATGTGAATGTTCCCAAGATGCCAAAAAGAGTCCTCGTTCATACTGTGATCGACGTGGACAGACGACAGTCGCGCAAAACGGGTATACTAAATACTGACGTCACGTTTACGTGTACGGAGCGTTACCTCCGTTGCATGTGTGCCCGTTGCAGGCACCCACACGAACTGATGCGCGGAAACAAGCTAGGAATCGCCGGAATTATCAGTATCCAAGGGTCAGCAGAAATAATGGCAAGCGCACGCCTACCATTTTGAAAAGGGGGCTAGGTAGACAATAGAGTAGAGTAGAGATCAAGGTAAAAGCTCTGCTGCGTCGCCAGCGTGATGCCTTGATGATAGTTTGATACTTTACGCGGAAGTTACATGAGCGACGTCAATTCCAGCTGAGGATCGAGATTTTGTATTGCCCATCAGTCAAAAAGCGGAACAGGGTCTCAGGGTCGAGCCAGGGGCGTGGAGATAGTGGGGATGAAGGGCATAGCTTGTCTCTGGCAAAAGCGTTTTGCGGAAAGACAGCCACGGCTTACGCGGAAAGCACAGCATTGGATTGTTGTTGGGAATGAGAAATAAAAACGACAAGAAACATGCAGAGAGGCAGAAAAGATAAGTAAGAGAAGAAAATCAATCCATCAATAGGTGTGGCGGATGGATGTCTGTGCAGGCGGCAGGCTGCTGCCCTGCAGGAGTCATGCTGGTCGTGCAGCGCCTCTTTCTGACTTCGTCACCAGCCACTGTTTGTAGCAATGGAGCAGTTGGCAGTGAACAGTTGCGACTGGCAGACGATTGCAAGCAAATAACACACATTGTGTTCATAGAAAAAAGTCAAGAATGGTTAGTTTGGCCGTGAAGTTCGACCTGAAGCTAAAAAAGAAAAGCAACAGTTGCAAAAAGCAAAGCCAATCGTCCTCTCACGCACTTCATGCCGACGCTTTGGACTCCTCACTTCCACTCTCCATGTCTTGTAGTACTGAGTTACGTTGCCCCTCTTGCCCCTGCTCCAACCGAACCCTGTCTGCCTGTAACCCTGAAGAGCCCCCAAAATTACAGTGGGCGAAGGCCAAGAATAGTGGAGGAAAGGTGCGGTGGGGAGGGGGGTATTCCAGCTGGTTCGGGTGTTTGGGTGTTTGGGAGTTTGGGGGTGTTGTTTTTTTCAGGTGTCCGTGAGCTCGAGCCCTTTACGAATAGTAACCTACCTACCCAAGTGGAATACAAAAAATATTGCCGCTCTGCCCGCCCGAGTTTCGCTCTTCTCAGCCAAAGCCGTTAAAACGGATATCTTTCATGTATTTGAGAATTATCAAGGGTATAGAAGGACTGTTCATCTTTCTCATCTTTCTCTTTATCTCGACTTATGCATGTTGTGCTTTGTAAAAAGGTCAGAAGTCCAGCAGCGAGAGTATGTTGTCACTCACTCCCCAGGTACCTACGTGCTACCATGCCTACCTACACGCAGGGGCCGCTAGTTTTATGCACAATCACGGCCTTTTCTCTTGTCGCGATTCCTTTTCGGGCTTTCTGTGATCCGAAAATGAAGAAACTGGGGTCCATTTCGTCGCAGTATTTTTGTTCGTACGATGCGCATGTTTGATGGGTTTGTGGCGAGTCTTTGTCCGCAGCAAGCAGCACCACTGCACCATCATCATCACGTCAACGGCTGTTTGCAGAGCTCCAGGTAGGTAGGACCCGGCCGACGGCCAGGGTACTCGCACCAGAAGGCGGAGCAAGTGGTACCCAAAAAGAAGCCCCGAAGGAAGCAAGGCAAACCCTTACGTCCTATTCCTTCGATCCCTCAGCCGCTGCGATCGTCTGGCTTTTTTACCGTCCTCCCTCGGCCGGCCCTTCTGTGCCACACCCTGCCACACCCTGCCACACCCACTCCACCACACCACGCCTCTCTGTCTATCAAGACTTGTACCTTTTGGCTTGACCCCGCTGCAACCGATACCTCGCTCGACCCATGCTCGACAGAAACGGCGGGCTTTGCCCAAATCCCCATCCCATCCCCATCCTGTTTCCCTCTTCACCATCCCGCACCCCCCTCCATCCTCCTCTACCCTTTCTATTCGTATACTAATCCATCCTCCACCCCCAGTTTACACCCATTTCTCTCATCCTGCTTTTGCTATTTCACTACTTCCTCTGCCTGCCCTTTTGGAATTTCCCCTTCTCTTCCTTCCCACACACAAACCACGGGTTCTTTTATGCATCGTTACCCATCCACCACCAGATCTTCAACATTGCTATACTCCAGCACCACCAATCAGCATCAGTTCTTAACTCTTTCGTCGACTTAAACACCTGTGGATGCTACTCTTCCAGTCTTGTCTTTAGGATCGATTGCTTCCGTTCTAGCATCACTTACAGCACTGCTCTCACCACCATTTCCAAAACTTAAACTACAACCACAATGGAAGCTCTCAACGCCGCTGGCCGTAGAGTCTCTCTCCTCAACGATGACGGCCCTCGCCAACCGTCGTCATACTCCATGGCCCATGCCTATGCCACCCCTCCGTCAGGCGCCTCGTCGCCCATCAGCCCCCAAATCTGGCGCTCCGGATCCTACGACTCGCAAGTGAGCGGCAGCGACGCCGTCTCCCCGCTGACACCCGCACTCGACTATGCCTACAACTCTTCGCATTCGTCTAGCCGCGCCTCCAACAATACCAAGCGTCCCTTGCACTACGCCAGTAGCCGTTCCACTTCTAACGAAGACGAGGTTCCCGTCGCTCCCGGCGTCGCCCAGGACCGCCCCGCTAAGCGCTACCCGTGCCGCTTCCGCGATTCCCACGGCTGCGAAAAAACCTTTACTACCTCGGGTCATGCTTCCCGCCATTCCAAGATTCACACCGCTGAGAAGGCTGTCCAGTGCACGTTTCACGGCTGCCAGAAGAAGTTCACCCGCGCCGACAACATGAAGCAACACCTCGAGACGCATTACAAGGACAAGACCCGCAGCTCCGGCAGCCACCGCTCTGCCACCGCCGCCCACCAAAAGTCTGCCACAGAGCATCGTCGCCCGGCCGCCGCCACTGCACGCAGCCGCTCTTCCTCGTCGCTCAGCGGACCAGAGCTAGATGTCCGCCAGTACGCGCTGCCTACGCCACCCCCACTGCGTTCGCCTGCTGTCATGGCGAGCGGTGGGCGCTCGGCCTGGGAGATGACAGGCACGACGACTCTGCCCCTGCATAGCCGCCCGTCTCCTATACACGCCCCTAACAGCGGCCTCGACGCGCTTGCTATGGCTATTGCCTGCCAAGAAAGTTCATGAGATCAACGACGTTGACAAGATTCATTTCCATGATGATCCGACATCATCTATCTATGCGCATCGAAATCACCGAGCTTCTCCTGCAGAATCGACATCCTCTGCTTCTTTATTTCTTAATCTTTAATGCGGTCACACCTTGCGGAGGAGTGGTGTGCCACTTGATTTTGTCTACACCACTTTACGCTTCCTGTGAATTTTTTAGCTTCTTTCGCAGCTAACAAGGAAAATATATACCAGTCCGAATGGTGAAACTGGAGAAAACGGCGTCTTGTTTTGAAAGCACACAATACTTTCATCTCTACGGCTTGTTAGGGTCTGTTTTCTCTCATTTCCTCGAGAGGATAATCTGATTTTTTTTTCTTTGACATTGTCACGGCCGCATCATTTACACAAAATCGGTCACCATTCATGGCTGTCATGCTCTGAATCTTTCTTTCTTCTTATTGAACTTGTCTATACTTATATACACAACATACACGGGACACACGGGAACGAGCATATGCGGAATCATAGACGCAAAGTATACGAATTGGCGTCGTCTTTGGGGTGGGAGCGGAGGATCAGGGTTTGCCGCGACAATTTGCGCTTTGCAATGTCGAACCTTCTCGGAGCATGGGAAGGCACCCGCACCGGCGGAGATTTTTTGAATAGGATTGGTGTAAATACACCTTCTATCGCTTTTTCTTCTTTGACATATCTCGTTAGCGATATCCAGCCACGGTACAAAATATACGATGAATTGAACGCGGCCGCTTCAAGCGGCGGCTAGTTTCCGAAACATTTCTTCTTGCATTTGCTTTGAAAACTTGCCAGGCGTAGTAATCTCATCTTAGTCTTTCCAAGCATCACCTTGAAGCCGCTACTCCTTAGGAAGCTTAGAAAGGCTACTCGTAGGCAACTTGGTGGCCCCATCATCGGCCCTGACCTGGGTCCATCATCACAAATGCATGCCACTTTTTTTCTTGGCTTCGGCCTTGTCGCCGCTGTCTCTCATTCCGTTGTGTAGTGCCTGGGGGGAAGTGGAGGGGGAGCCAGCTTTTGAGACCTATCGACTATCAGTTTTGACTGTGCCCGTCGGCGCACGATTTATCGAAATATGTTTCTCGAGCCCATGTTGACCCAGTCCCAATGGGCCGCCCGGGTAGCTAGCTACCCATGCCATGGACTTGACATTCGCATCACCACCCTTCAAAAAAAAAGAAACCCATTTACGCCGGCATGGAGGGGCCCCAAGAAAGGCAGACGAACAAGCAGGACTCCCTTTTGTTTTACGTGCCGAGGAAAAATGCACGGAATTGTTGACATGCCAGCTCAACATAGGCGCCACGCTTGATGTTTTGTGAGGTTCTGTTTCGTTAAAGATTGCCCTTTAATTTATTGTCATAGCAGTGATACTACTCTTGCTGATTATGTGCGCCGCAGCATCTCAGTGCTCTGTGTTAGCTGCCCATTGCGCGTTACAAAAGCCTGAGTAGAGAGAGACTCTCGCGTTTCTCCGCACAACACTAGGCCCAAGCCCTTTTTTTTTTTCTGTTTCTCTAAAATATTACGCACAGGCTGGATCGCGCGTCGGAGAAACACCGTGCTCCAAGCAAGTGTGCCCATTTTGTTTACTCGTTTTTCGCTTTTTCTCCAACAATGGACCCTGCCTGCAGCGAGACATGCAGGGACCCTGTTTCGCCCGAGCCTGTGCGGAAAACAGGTATCCCGCCCTTCAGGAACCCAAGACATTGGTACCGGAATTTGAAATGCACACTGGTGTAGCAATCTCATTCCGCCCTTTTTCCTCTTGCAATTTCGAGCTCGCCCTTCCTTGATCTCTTTTCAGCCATGGTGCGGCGATCGCATGGGTGGCAACAGGTGGGGAAGGTGTCTCAAACGCAAGGTCAAGGTACTGTACCTTTGTTTTATTTTCATCCCGAGTAATGCCGGCAGTAAGAATTTTTCAAGTCATTTCCGCTCGGTGCCTGCCATCTTGGCATTTCTGACAATCTACAGAAAGTCGCATTCCTTGAGCTGAACAAGGACCGCAGCCCTAGCAAGCAAGGTCTTGGAGACACTTTGCCAAGACGGGTTCTCTTTGTCATTTACCCAGACACCCCATCGAAGATGTCACTTTCATCCATCTGGCCGCTCAGGTACTGAATCTTGCAGGCTATGCGATGTATCGCTTACTTGGCCAGGAAGAAGTTGTGGCGAAGGTAGCTCAAAGTGGTGCGGTGGAAATGGCACCCCATTGAATTCCCGATCCGAGCTGTGCGCGTACAGCCAGGTTTCTAAGAATCGACGGTATCCTGAAAATATTAAGACGTCAGCCGCTGATTTCAGCCCAGACGAAGAGTTGCGCATACCGTCGCCATGAGTGAATTGAATGCTCAGATACCGTATATCTTGGTCACCCGCCTCTGCCGATTGCCCTGCGGAAAACACTCGGGGTCGTATCCGCTGGGCGAGTGAACGTCGAGAACTTTCTGGCGCACTGCCTCGACGACCCTGGACCACCAGACGAACTTGCTTTGCGCGGTCCTCCCTTCCGCGAAGTTCTCCTTCGAAGATGTGTACATCATACTCGCGGTATGAGCCACCTGCCTTGTTTGCAAGCACTGACAGCGAGTGGCAGGTCGTATATCTGTCACGCCAGAGTTTGAGTCGCTGTATTGCACCAATTCCCCTGACTTTGCCATAGCTGTCGGTGCGGCCATGAACATTCGTCCATACCACATCGACGTCATAAAAGTCTACTAGGTCCTTGCGGCGCACATCGCCCTGGAAGAGAAGGGAGCTGTTTACCGACGTGAATTCGTATCGTACATAAATGTACTGATCGTGGATGCAAATACCCTCGTCCGAAATGTATCGTATGCGATGTGGTTCGGTAAAAGTAACGTAGCGCTCCATATCAGACGGGTCGTGATACTGTCTGTGGCGCGCATGTAGCGTGTGCGGAAAAACTTCCGCAGGCACATCCGACGGCACTGCAACGTCAGCAAGTCATATGCATGGAGGGCAAATGCGTGTCTGCTCACAGTGATGCTCGAGAAGCTCATTTTGGTAGCTACATTGCCACAACACTCGACGCTGCTCAGATCCCACCACTTCCCAGGGGCCGAGGTAAACCGTCCGCTCCTCTGCTGTATCTTGAAAGAGTGTTCTGGTCGGTCAGCAGGTGACAAAGGTGTCAACGCTGCAGTACATACATGGTGGCCTGGAACCCCGGAGGCCCAATGTCTAGAGGACGCAGACTGGAGCGAGGCACAAAAGAGCCTCCAATGGAAGAGGGCGCCGAAGCGACAGAAACGCCCGAGGTTGGCGTCCAAGTAGAATCGACGGGGCTGGCGTAGGAACGACTGTATGTTGGCGGACGAGCGAGCGAAGACGAGGTAAAAGACGAGCTCGAAGAGGACATGCTGCAGAAGCAGCTCGAGGCGTGGCGATCAGGTCACGTCGGCTGTGGGGGAGGGGAACCAGTCATTCCAAAACTGGTCACCGAGGCGCAAGCTTACGTTGGCAGGGAGCCGAGCAGAGACGCGAGGTTGCGCCGATTGCAGCTGGGCAGCGACGGGACCGGGAGACTTATGCAAAGCAATGTCTTTGAAGATGGGTTGGTTGTGGTAGAATTTGATGATTGATGGTCGCTAGAAAGCGGGCAAGCAGAGGAGGTCCACGCGCCGGCGACGAAATGACGAACAGTTGATGATGTACCACAGTGTACCGGTTGAATACTCTATGGTTAAAGGCGCTGAATGCTACCTGACCAGAGTTGCCGTGCTGGAGGCAGCTGACGAGTTATCTGCGACTCACAAGCAGTGGACTCGAGACGGAAGCGGCTCGCCAGCCAAGTTCATTGTCATCATGTCGCGCCATTAATCTACCCCAGTATGCGGCGCGGAAGCATTCAGCAGGGCAGGACCAGCACAGAAGACGGCGTTGGCAGCGTGCTAAAGTCGTTGGAGGTGGAGGTCGAACCGGCCTGACGGGGGGCGGCCATTGCCGTTCCACTAGCGGCCGTAGCGGCAGGCACGGGGGTTGAGCGCGGCTTGTGATGGGCTGGTGCTCCGTCGTTTGTGGTGGGGAGAGGTTGAGAGAGGGTGGACCGTGGCTGAAGAAATGGCTGAGAGGTGCATTGTGAATTTGTGATGTACTCTGTAGTGCGCGAGGATGGTGATGATTGAAAATCGAACCAACGTGATGATGCTGATGGGGGCGATGGAGGAAGGGCATATCTAATAATGAGTCTTGGAAAGATATCGGCAGCAGTAACAGGTGGATTCTCAAATATTTGCGATTATAGATTTTGCTCTTTCGGCTTTGGCCAGCTGCCAGGCGGACGCTACTCTTGCAGGTATTCCGATGGAGTTTCCCCGCTAGCTCGCTTCTTGAGTAAATAGACATCCTATCTAGCTACACGCATGCTCTCTCTCCAACAACTTATCAAACCGTCACCATGTTTACTTTCCACCGGTCGAGCACAGATTTCTCGCTTTTAGATCTACCTCGTCATTCCGGGACCCAAACTCCGTAAACAAAGTCCGCTTAAGTTTGCCTTCGCGGCACATTGGCAACGCCACTACAACTCCACCATCGCGACATGTCCAGACAAACACCACGCAGGCATCACGTTTTTGTCACTGCTACATCTTGGACTAGATGTGGGATATTGTCAAGCCTGCAATGTCCAAGGTAGTCATCTGCAGGCTGTCACCCTATTCCTAGCACGGCAGCAATGCACTCCTTCACCCGTCGCTGCCTCGCCGCCAACCAGCCCTCCAGCTCTCAGCCCGAGTCCAGCTCGGCCCACTGGCAGGGGCGCCTCGCCTGTCCCATCGCCTACACTATTGATTAGCGGCGCAGTCACTCTGCCTGGCAATACGTCGCGGACTCCTGAATTGCGATATCATCTTTGCTTTCTACTCTTATCATACCATGCGAGACAAGTCAAAACACTCCTCTTCATCAGCTAGCCAACTGCGATCCCACCCGTGCCCCCCACCTGCGCCGAGATATAGCTCGACCAACAGCCGCCGCAAACCTTGGCGCTGTGCGCTGATATTAATTGCGCTCCGTCTCGAGCGCGTCCACCTCAAATCTTCGACAAATCACCTTACTGCCTCATCTCGCCTGATGCCGTTTGCGCACTTCGCTGACAATGCCGCTCGGGTCATGGCTTAGGCCTAGAAACCGTGGTTTCCTCGGAGCAGACAGCTCTGCTCTGCCAACGCAGGATCTGCAGGTATGTGCCCTGCGCTCATCCGGTCCGCGTCCGAAGTCTCGCTGATCTTGCAGGACCGCCATCAATTGCGATATGAGCTGGATCTAAATTCATGGAATTTTCGTATTTGGGGTGTCGCTGCCTCGGGCTTTTTAACTGACTCGTACGGCTGGTCTCGGACGGCGACGTGTAGTCCCACCACTGGCTAACATGCCTAGATACAATCTTTTCTCTACCAACGTCATTATCGCATCTATCGCATTTGTATATTACCCGCATGGCCGTGAATGGCCTAGTCTCCTTATCAACCTCTTTACACTCCTTGGCTCCGTTATCGGTCAACTTTCATTTGGCTTTCTCGCAGATTACTATGGCCGCACGCGACTATACGGAATCGAACTGGTGCTGGTCATTGTCTCGACTATCGGCGTTGCAACGAGCAGTCACGGATACAATGACATGTCTTTCTTGGGGCTGTTCATCTGGTGGCGTTTTGTCATGGGCGTCGGTACGTTTTGCACAAGCAGAGTCACCACGCGCAGCTAACAGTGACAGGCATTGGTGCCGAATATCCTCTCAGCGCGGTCATCACATCAGAATGGTCCAGCACACATTCGAGGGCGACCATGCTATCGAGTGTGTTTCTCATGCAACCCATTGGTCAGGCATTGGCGCAGCTTGTCGGGCTATGGGTGCTACTTGGCTTTGAAGATAGCAAGAAGCTGAGGGATCTTCGTTGCGGCTTGGATACCTTGCATGAAGAAGAGTGCCGTAGGGCTGTGGATGGCATCTGGCGTATCGTCATAGGATCCGGCGCTATTCCCGCCCTTCTTGCCATCATTTTCCGCTTCTTTTTGTTTGACTGCGGCCTCTACAGTCTCGAAGTTCGCAACAAGCCGGCCGTCGCCATTATGAACACGCAAAGAGTCTATGGAATGCCGGCCAGTTCAGCTATTCGTTCTCAGAGTATACATCATCAAAACTCGTTTGCGCTACAAAATACAAATGGTAATTTGCATCCGGAGCCCTCGCCACGACCCATGCCGTTGCAGTTTTCACGCGAAGATTTGCACAATTACTTCATTCGCGATAGAAATTGGGTCTACTTGCTTGGAACGGCCGCTACATGGTTTTTCCTGGATGTGAGTTTTTATGGATTGTCTCTCGATAACAAAGGCACACTCTCCGACATGTGGGCGACGACACCGCCGGTCCCCATCAACGAGAACCTCGCATGCTGGAATTCAAGTTTACCGGAAGGAACATCCACAGTCCCTGGATGGCGAAAATCAGGGTTGCCTACGTGGCAAACCGATTCAACACATCCGTGTAATACCATTTACGATGTCTTGATCGAGCAAACCAAGCAGTACCTCTTGACTGTGTCGCTTGCGTCTATAGCAGGCAGCCTCTGCTTCATCATCTTTGCAAATCGCATACCCAGACGCCAGTGGCTTACCGCATCATTCATCATTCTAGCCGTCTTGTTCATGATTACCGGTGGAGTTTACTATGGTGTTCACCGTGACAATGCGGCGGCCGCCACCGTCGTCTGCGTGGCCATCTGCCACTTCATGTTTAATTTTGGTAAGAATTTCTGCCAGCAACGTGGCACGGACAACCAACTGCTAACCTGAGCAGGTGCCAATACGCTCACATTTATCATCCCTGCTGAGATCTTTCCCACCTGCTATCGCTGTACGTGCCACGGCATCTCGGCAGCCGCCGGCAAACTCGGCAGTATCGTTGCCGTGCTCGTCGTATTTGGCATCAACAAGGCCTACAAGAGTCAGACACGCCAGGGCCTCATCTTTTTGCTCTTTGGCTCGGTCGCCGTGGTGGGGGCTTTTTTCTCATGGGCCTACTTGCCCGACTCGCAGCGCTGGGTCGTCGAGCCCACAGGTGACGGCCGCGAGAAGCGATTCCTCGAGACCAAGGACCTGGAAGAGCTGGGCGAAGGTAGGGAGCGAGCCAGGCAAGCGGGAGAGTTGGTGGCATTCAAGGAGCGATGGGGTGGACTGCGCAGTCGAAGAGGCGAGCAAAGGACCGGACCCGAGGCGTAGCACACATGTTGGACGCAAATTGTATGAGATAAATTGTTGTTTTAGACAGATAGCCCGACAGTATGCAACAGAACGCTACAGAATGCCTTGATGTATACAGTTCAATGGTTCAGACAAGATGCAATATCCTTCGAATTTTTTCGCTCATACGTTCGTTGGTGGCACCGGTGCCGCATTATTTATAAGCAAATCCGCCGTATCCGCGTACAAGTCGTCCGCGCTCGTCGTCGCCTTGACGTGGGGATCACGCTCCAGGGCGTCGAGCCAGCGCGCCCAGCGCTCGGAGCTGCCGCCGCCGCCCGCCGGGGCCGCCGGGTCGGGCCATCCGCGCCGCGGATGAAGAATGGTACGCAGGCGCAGGGCAAAGGGGGCGAGGTGGACGTCAACGAGGCTGAGCATGGGGCCCAGAAAGTACGGGCCGTGCTCGTCGGCGGCCTGCGCGAGCCGGTCGAGTTGCGCTTGCAGGCGCGCAATGAGGTCCGGCCGGCGGGCGAGGTCCGTGTTCCGGAGGAGTGCGTAAAAGGCAGCCAAAAGGTCAGTGTTGATCTGGAAGGCACGTGTTAGCTCATGTTCTTCTTCTTTTTTTGGGATATTTTCTTCTTCCGGCATAGAATCGGGAGACAAAAGGTGGGAGGTGAAACTTGCATGGTTGATCCAGAAGCGGCAGTTGGCCTTGAGACGCCCGTCCGAGGGCAGCAACGGTACGCGCTGATCCAAGTCTTCGAGCTACTCAAAAACTAGTCAGCAAATCAATTTTGAAAGGGAGGAGAATAGGACAATGGAGAGACTTGCATATTCCAATATCACGGCCGACTCGGAGCAGGCCCACGCGCCCTGCCGAATCGCTGGCACCTTGCCTTGAGGATTCGCCTCGAGCAGGGCCGGTTGCGCAGGCCTGCGGTGCGGATCAGTCTCGCAGTACTGGTACGGCACACCCTTGGCCTCGAGCGCGATCCAGACACGCTGCGAAAAGGGGCAATAGGACGCCGCGTACAGTCTGAGATCGCCGCCATCGCGGGTGTGCTTCTTGGCCGTCACGGCCGCGGCGCCGCTGGTCCGTCGCGGGGCGGGCTGCGCCCGCTTCGCCACCTTGTCCTGAGCGGCCACGTGCCGCTGCACGCTGTTCTTCTTGATCTCGTCGCTCTTTGCGAGGGTGTGCTTATGCGGACCGGCCACGCCGTCGCCCTTGCCGTTGCCGCCATTGCCGTTGACGCGCTGAATGGTCCAGAAGCGCTGACCGTGGTAGCCCGCGGCGACGGCCGCCGCTGCCGCCGCGGACGTGTCACTGGTGTCGAGCTGCAAGGGCTCCGCGCTGGGAAAGTATTCGGTGATTTTAATCTTGACGTCGCACAAGTCGCGCTCGCGCGCGCTGCGTCGACGCCGCTTCTTGTTGGGGTCCTCCGTCTTTGGCGTGCCAGGAGGACGACCTTTCATACGACAGTCCCAGTAGTGGGATATAAACGGTTTACGCTTATACTTTTGTGTAGACCGGTGAGAGTAGACATTATCAACGTGAGGAAAGTATGTTTCAAATCTAGTGCTGTTAGTGGTGACTTTGCCAACCAAACCCCAACGTGCTTACTGCTCTTGTGTGAGAACAATCATCTCATCAACATTGAAAAGCTTCTCTCGCCAGGCTTGCAAATCCGGTGGATCAACGATGATCTTGCCTCCTAGCTTACCTTGAGCCGCAGGCACCGCGGAGGACGCATCGTCGGCTGCGCCTGCGCCAGCTCCGGTCGGCATGGCGGGAGCAAAGTGCAGCGTCTGCTGGCCCATGACCGGAGCCATGGACCCGTGCGGATGCGCAACCGGTACCGGCGTCGGCGCAAGGATGCCAAATTGGCCCATGTGCTGCTGCTGCTGCTTATCGGCAGCACCTATCGATACTGGCAGCGCGGCCTGCACAGCCGCATTACCTTCATTGCGGCCCGCCTGCCGTCGCCGCCTCTGCGGCTGCCGGTTCTCCTCGGCTTGCGCCTGGTATTCTAGCCCGCCGAAAAAGTTGCCCTGCGAGCGATATGCTTCACCCATCGCCACAGCCGCCGCCGCCGCCGACGGATACCCAAGTTCCATGTCCATGGCAAATGGCTGCTGCTGTTGTTGCTGTTGCTGTGGCGGCTGGTGAGATGTCTGCGGCGGCTGCGGTTGCTGGCCGCTGGCGAACGACCCTGGTGCCATGGCGGGGGGTCGTCGCGCGACACGCGCTGAAGCGTCAAAGAGATGTCACACGCTGTCGGGAATGAACGAGAGGCTCTAACACGATAAATCGCCTTTGCTTGCTGCTTTAAGGGGATGGTGAGAATGGTGAGGGCAAATTGGGCGGCAAGTGGGTAAATGCTCCTGGTTGGCGTCAAAAGAGCGTCGTGCACGGACCACTCGGCCGACCTCAGGCGGCGGATAAGCAATGTGATCCAATAATGATATCCGGCGAACATTGATTGCTATGGACCGATAGCAGTATTGGTAGGATGGTAAATAAAAAGAAAAACTTGATATTTTGTTGTTCGGTTGATACAATTGTACATGTCATATGGTCACTTCAGGATCCCTGAGAAGGCCCCCCAAGCAAAGACAACAATTTTACTTTCATTGCCTGAGATAGCCCCCTCAAACCTGAAGGGAGCGCTTGGAAGCTACTGCTAACACTCTGGTGTATTTCTATAGTTGTCACACCCAGAGAGGAATCTGTGTCCGGGTCCTCTGGACTAGAAGCCTCGACAAGGGTTGCAAGTCGGCGCGGCCCCAGGCCAGACAAGCATCAAGAACTCCGCTACACGGAATCAGCACACAATTGAGACGCTACTCGACAGCGATATTTTGTTTGATTCGCAAAGTATATATCACATTGACTCCTGCCAATCGTTTGAATAACTCAACTCCAGGTATATTAATATGTCCATATGTCCATGAAGAAAACATGCGACAAGATTCAAACCAAGGAAAACAGCCAACGCCGCCCACAGCCGTGATCATTAGAGAAGAGAAAGCGCCATCATAAACACTCAACAACATATAAACTGCCACTTCTGCGCGTCACCTCGGCCATCATTCACCCCCGCATGGGCTCATTGCCTGTATCCCAGGACGACAGGTCCATCGCCTCCATGGGCCCCATGTTCATCAGCGCGCGCAAGACGCCCTCATTCTGCATATTGGCCGCCTGCTGCGCCGCGGTGATGTTATCCCAGCCGTTGCCGAATGACATGGCCGGGCCGCCCATCTGCTGGTGCTGGTGCTGGTGCTGGTGCTGGTGCTGGTGCTGTTGCATCTGGAACGGTTGCTGCGCGGGGCTGAAGAAGTGCGCGCCGGTGCTGGGAAATTGTGGCGAGGTACCCGACCCGAATATTTGTAGAGCACTGCTACCCTGCTTTACGGTTTGACCATCCGATCCATTACTCGAGTTTGGCGTCCGGCCGTTGGACTGCCCTTCCGGGGACTCTGTACTTTCGCCATTTACATCCCCAAAACTGGATATGTGCCCGCTACCGTTGGCGGCGGCCTTGTCGTACATGATGCCCGAGTTAGGGGTCAGCATGGGCAGTTGTTGGTCCACCGAGAGCCACGCCTGTCCTCCAAAGGCTGTGTTGCCTGGCAAGCCCATGCCTGAAGGCTCGGATACTGGCGGCGGTTTGGCATGGTCGTCCTTGGAATAATCGCACTCTCGATATGACAAGATGCCCTTGACATGTTCTGGGTTGTCGCACAAAGCCTTGGGCGAATCGCCTCCATTTTGTTCAGGCTGAGGAAAGGTCAGGATTCGTTTCGAATATGGCGGGGGTAAACAGGGTCACTTACGGTATCGCCGCCTCGAGGGAATGCGTTCATTAGCCTAGGTATTCTGGCTGCGAGCGCCTCGAAGTCGACATCCAGTTGTACCAAGAATGATTCGGTGAGGGGGTTGCGCTTCTTGAGCGCGTTCATGGCGGATAATAAGAAACGAAGTGAGTCGGCGGTGACGTCGTCTTCGGGACGGCTCTTGAGATATTGTACGAATACACGAGCGGCGACGTAGAGAGTAAAAGAGATGAAGGGGTTCATCTAGGCACATTAGCGACACGGATGAGAAAAGAGCACGTCAAGACTTACAGCTGATAAATCCATATGCGAAACGTTTCGCATGACGCCCGTAATCTCATTGGCGGCCGTGATGCAACGAACCTTGCTTTCAGAGCTGAGAGACGCCGGAAGCTTATGCGTCTCTGCTTTGAAGATGGCTGCTTGGTGAAGGCAAATCGTGGACGTGTGAATCGACATGTTCATAAAGACAACATTTGGGTTGGAGAGGCCCGCGGGTAGCTTGAGATTGGATGGCAAGCCGAGAGATGTGTTGAGAAGGATGCTGTCCATTTCGCGGTGGCGCTTCCAAAAGGGTCCATTGACGTCGCCGTCGTGATCGTCGCTGTCGGGTCTGTGCAGGTGCACAAGATTGCGGCCAAAAATCGCTGCTAGCAGAACAATGGCACCAAAGGATGAAAGTTTGGTAGCACCGGTTGGAGTGGTGCATTCGTCGAGTGTTTGTGTTTGTTCGGGGCGGCTCATCTCAAAGGCCTCCTCCGTGGCGGGAAGCTTGGTAAGAATGTCACGTTCGTCAATCGTCATGGGCCACCCGGTACCGATGCTCGCATAGCGGTCCTCGCAGAATGCCATCCAAAAAGTGCGTCGTCGCTCTTCACGTTCGGTCCAGTCTTTGGGTGGGGGGAGGCATTGCTTCACATCCAAGCCCGCGCCGTCGAGTCGATGCAGCCCGATCCTGGTTTGTCAGAACAGAGTCAAGGTTCAATAGTATGTATACGTACATTTGTGCTAAACGGACCGCGCAGCCGGTATTGATCCACGCACGAGGAAAGTACATCATCTTCATCTCGTAGCATGCCAGCAGGATGTGCGCTTGGCAGTGGGCTACCGAAATCATGTGCTCGCCGAAACCCTTGACGTAGTCGCCCTCGACATATTTACGAGCGCGAGCGTAGAATAGATGCTTCAGGTCAGAGTACTTGTCTGTGATGGAGCAGGCCATGGTCCACATGGCATATCGCAGACAGACGGGAGGCCGTTGGTTGGGTGCCCTAGATGGTGAGCGCAAGTACAAGACAATGCCAAGTTGCATATAGAACTTACAAATTCATAGCCGCCATAAAGCGATAGCGGTGAATCATGGGCATTGAGGGATGAACTTTTTCGAAGTAGATTTGTTGCAGCTCGTCAATAGTCTGTTGCGCAGGCAGGGGCTCTTCCAAGCCGAGGCCAATCATTTCCCAGCTAAAGTTGCTGCCATCGCTGTTCATGGGCATGCTAAAGTTAAATTCTTCGGCGGGTGCGGCGCGCGGCGACTCGGCGGTATAGTTCCAACGGTCGATTTCTGCGTCAACGGCCACGGTGGGTGCAGGGGCGGCGGTGGGCCGTTTGGCTGGACTGGAGGACGACTGGGCAGACTGTGATGGTTCCTGTGTCTTCAGCAATGTCTCGACTTGCTCTGCAGCCGCATGTTAGCATCCAGTTGGTTGGCGTCGGGGAGGGTGCATGTGACGGACTTAGGCGTTCTTCGAGGGCCTTGACGTAGCCTCGTTTGGGGCCACTCTTTCGTCTCTGTTCGTCGTACGCACAGGAATGGCCCAGACGGGAGCAAGTACTGCAACTTGGTCGCAAGCCATCACACTTGAGCTTGCGCTTGCGGCAAATCATGCAAGCGAGGCGCTTGGGCTTGGGGACAGAGGAGTTGTCGGGGACATTGTCGGCAAGGTTATCGGCGTGGACACCGTCGGTAGTGTTGTCGTTGCTGGCACGGTCATCGCCGGGACTGGCTTTGGAATAGCCATTGTCTACAGAGCCAGCCATGTCGAAGACACAGGGCAGAGCCTGCAAACGACGGTCGCAAGGCGGGCGAATCGGGGTATCACAGCGAATGAAGAAGTCGCCGAGCCGGAGATGAATGGGTCCGCAGCGGCAGACAGGCCGGGCACGAGAGGGACGGCGGGAGGTGACAGCTTGATCGTCAGCGAATAATATGTGATGGTAACTGGTAGGACCGAGGCCGTGGTGATGTTCGAATGGTCTACGGTGTTGTTGCAAGGAAGATTGGTCAGCGGAAGCGCATCAGGCATAGGCCGGTGGTTGAAGGATGCGGAGTTGAGCCAGGTGGTGTCAGTGGGGAAGGAAAGTGAACGGTGGTGGCAGTGGCGGGGGGAGGGTGTTTGGAGGATTGTAGCTGTGCAGGTACTCGGTACCTCGAAACGCGTTAGCATCAGCTTGATAGGACTTTTCGGGCCTTCCGAGATGGTCAAGACATGGGCACTGTCCCTATATACTACAAGCAGCGGCGTAGAGCATACCCAGCTTAGGGGACCAAAGACTGGACTTGTAGGTATCGAGGTAAATAGACAAGTGATGCGTAGTTTCAATGCAATCTATGCATATACTCTCGAGGTAGTTCCAAGCAGCATTGTATCGGCATGGATTTGGTGTAATTTGCTCTGAAATGCCTCGGGCCCGTAGGCACCTACCTATAAAACACGGACAGGGATTGACAGCGCTGGAGCCAACCGCTAAGTAAAGACCATCACCTCGGCGCACGGTGCTGTTGCCTGGAAAGGGGTACCTGAGGTCTGCAGTGCGTGGGTTAGGGGTGCACGGTACCTTTCCTGACGAGCTTTTCAAAACGGCATTTCGGCGAGGTACTGGGTACCTACCTTGCCTTAGGTACTCATTGAATACCCAGCAACCACCTGCATCTGCGACTTCTTCAATCTATCAAGTGCTGGTGCACGGGCCGCGACGTATCCTCATTCCCTATTTACGCATTAATGGCCATGTTTGGAAATTGTTGTTGTATAACAGTATGCTGTCAGTCTGTCGGGCGTGATCATCTGCGTCAAGGAGCCGCCATTTGTTGCGTGCCGCTAATTATAAACTCTCCGTACCTAAAACCGTATTCGCAACGCCTGGTAGGGCACCGGATAACTCAGCCGCCACGTCATGGAGAGTTGGTGTTTTCTCGCATCCCGTCCGAATCATTAAATCTAACTACGTCAGACTTCACCCGAAAGAGGTAATATGAATCGTTGTCGATGTCGTGTTTATAAGGCAACAAGTGCCAAAGACAAGCCTCCAGAGATACAGACCAGTACACGTAAATGACGGACACGCACTGCCTGGCGTAAGCAGTTGGCAGCCTTACTCTTCCTTGCGCAGCCCCTCCCCCTGGGCTGACCTGATGCATCGGGCGGCACACGATACGGTGAGTGCGCAATACTTGTTTGATTTACAGAAGTCTGTGCTCTGCTCGTGAATAATTGTTTGAGGCACACTTACCAGTACGCAGCCTCAAGGCAATAAGCAACACGTCGGAGCGGGCTGCAGGCGCAAAGCCACTCCTTTACCACTTATAATTACTGTTTACCCATTTACGTACTTGATAATACTTGATACGTATACATAGGTACATATTGTCAGTTCAGCTTATCAGCTAAATAGTTCCAGCCCTGCGTTTTCCCCTCTCACTATCCACTTCAGACCCTGCAGCCTTTCATTTGCACATGTAAATCGCCGGTCCATCAATCCTGCTGCTGAGCATCATTACCACATCACCACCATTATCCTCACTCTTCTTTTTCTTTTATCCTAAAATCAATCCCTGTCCCAAGTTTCACTCTTTTACAAGCCCACATGATTCGGCGTACATGTGGCCACCATTTCATATCTCCCCAGACCTCGCTTAACTCTAACGCTCCCCATAATACATACCGCCATCATCCACACACGGCTCTCTTTCATCGTTCGAACATATCCCAAACCTTGACTCGTGCTTTTTCCAATGCGCCCGTTTGATCTCCTTTATCATCTGTTCTTACCAAGCTGGTGGCCCAATTTCTTATATTTATTTGCAAATCACTGGTAGCCGTTCTCCTCTTATTAACCCCTCCGCTGCGCCACTTCCATTTGGAATGCTATTTATTGTTGGCGGCGCCCCCAACTCCTAGTTAGGTAGCTGTCACAAGCCAGAACGGTTGCACACTAAAATTTGCACACACAATATATTGTACCCTAAGAATTGGCGCACACACGCCCAGAAAAGCCCCTTCTTTCATCCATCCTCGTCCAACTATTTATTTGTAATGACTATAACCGAGGCCAGCTTGCGGTACCTGCCAACTGCCTTCCATCCCAACACTCCAATCTCTCTGCCAGCACGTTCGTTACTTATTCTAATCCCGCTTCAGGACAGATCAATATATCACCAATACATGGCTCGTCGTAACCTGCCGCAAGCTAACAATTGCTACCAGTACCATTTTTGCTAGCCGAGAGACAACGCTCAAGCCAACAGCAGAGCGGAATTATCCCAGCCAGCTCTCAGCGGAGCTAACCCATATATAGGTCGATCATCCATACCCTACCATCTCATAGTATAGATTCATTAGCAATAATAACGCAGAGCCGCTTTCATGTTCCGACAGCCAGCATCGGGCTAAATCTATTGAACACATTTCTCATAGCGATTATCGTAAGATAAACTATCCAAGGAGACCAACCACTTGTGCAGTTCGAAAGAACGTCTTGATTTATGCGTACTCTTGAAGAGCATCTAATGCTAATCTCGTCATGAACTTCTCGGTGGCCGCTCTCGGTCCTCATCAACGGGTCTTCAATCTCACAGCATGCGACTGCTAACTTGCAAATTATTGTGTCAATAGGCAGGTGATTGATTCATACTTGCCCCCATTGGCTGTGTCAAAGAGCCGACCAAAACAAAAAGCTACGAAACCACAAAAAG